GATTTAGGATTATACTTTAATAAAATTAGTTTAAGTTTAGTATTATATTTTAATAAAGTTAATTTAAATTATTATATAGTTATAATATTAATATTTAGATTATTTTAAATCTAATTATTTAAGTTCTTTCTTTTTAGGATTATATAACTCTAATATTAGAGTTATTTATCTTTTTTTTAAAAAGATCTTCTAATCTTCTAATTAAAATATTAGACTTAATATCTTATTATCTAAAATAGTAGATAATCTTAAAATTAAACTAAGATAGAAACTTAGATTATTAGATTTATTATTAATTTAAAAGCTTTATTATTATAAAATACTTTAGGTTTTAGTAATTAATAATTATAAAGATTAAGAAGTTTATTCTCTCTAACTCTAAATACTATTCTTTAAAATATTATATAATTATAAGTAATTCTTTATTATAGATTTTATAATTATATTTTATTATAGAATACTTCTTAAAGAAAAATATAATAGAGTAAAGAATATTTAAGTTATTATATTATAAGATTACTTTAGTAGAGATATAATTAGAAATATTAGTTTTAAATATTATATCTTTTATCTAATTAAAAAAGACTAAGATAAGGATAAATATAAAAGTAAACTTTAATATCTTAAATACTTTTTAATAAATAAGATCTTAAATAAAAGTAATATCTTTTTTAATTAGATAGACTAATTATATAGTTAATTTTAAAAAATCTTAAATAAACTATTAATAAAAGTTTATAAATCCTAAGAAAGCTTATATATTAGTAAGATAGATTAGGATCTTTTATTTAATAATTAAATAAATCTTTTCTCGATCTATATAGAAGCTATCTTATTTAATAATAATTCCTAAGAACTTTATTTTATATATATAGAATTTATATTTAGATAATTTTATAAATAGATTAGTTTTATAGAGTTATTATAGGACTTTTTATATATATTTAATATACTTAGCTCTTATATAACTATAGATTAAGATATTATCTAGATATATAATATAGAATAGATCTAAATAATTATAGAAGGAGTTATTAATAAATCTTTAGAAGATTATAGAGACTCTAATAAATCTAAATAATATTATAAAGGATTTAAAAAGTCTAAGTCTTATATAAAATACTATAAGATATTCTTACCTAGTCTTTATATAAAGATTATTAAATACTAATATAATATTAACTCTTATAAAGAATTTTATTCTTTTTAGGTTATTTAGAGTCTTTTTTATTAAGAATAATAAATAGTAGTCTTTAACTATAACTATATTTTAGATATAGTAGTCTATATAGAATTATAGGTTACTACTAGATTTATAAATAAATAGTATAAATAAGATAATAAGAGATAAACTTAGATAAATAAATCTTTTCTTTAGGTTCTCTATAATCTAGTTTTTTAAAGTAGTAAGCTCTATATAAGATATAATATAGAGAGATCTAAATAGTAGTATCTTATCTTCTACTAGCTATATATTATAGTTATATAAATAATATAAAAATAGTTTATTAGTTTCTTTTAGAGAGAATATATTAGTATAGTCTTAAAATTCAATAAGTAGATAATCAGTAGGATTCTTTTCTTTAGATTTCTTATTTAGAGTAGTTTTAATATCTTTAATTATTATAATAAAGAGTTAATAACCCTTTTAGCTTCTAGTATATACTATATAGATATTTAAGCTTATAGCTTTAATATCTTAGGATCTTAGATAAGTAGATTAATCTAATTAATTATAGGAATAGGCTTTTAAAGGAATTTTATATATAGTATAGATCTTTAGGCTTTATATAGTAATATTATAGTTCTTTTAGTAATATATTCTATTAAACTTAATTATATAAGTAATAAACTAGACTCTTAGATTATAGATCTTAAGCTAAGATAGTCTAAGAATAATTAAGTAGTATATAAATTAAATAACTAAGAACTTAGCGTTTTCTTAGTATTTACTAGTAGTTATCTTTATTTATATAAAATAAGTTATTTATTTACTTTTAGATTCTTAGCTATTAAAACCTTTTAGTTAGATTAGATTTTTTAGAGGTTCTTATATAAGACTATATTCTTTAGCCTAATTAATATTAATAAAATACTCTTCTTTAATACTACTATCAATTATTATATATATTAGAATTTCTTTCTTATTCTAATTTAGGATAATTAGTAATATAATTAGGTTAGAGTATTAGATATCTTTATTAATAGTAGTTCTTTAAATAATAGTAATAAATAAATAGATTATATAGATTATATTAGTCTAGTTATAATTTAGACTAGGCTTATTTCTTTTAGTAGTTTATTATATAAGAAGTAACTAGATAGTAAGGATTAGGGGTATTATTCTAGTAAGATAGTATATTAATATTCTAAGGAAGTAGATCTTTCTATATAGATAGAGTATATTTATATAGAGTATATTTATATAGAGTATTAATTAGGTATTATAGGCCAATACCTGGTATAAGGTTACGTAGTATATATAACTATAATAACCTAATACATAGAATACCTACTTGGTAATTCTCTTTTTAAGCTTTTTATATATAGTATATGGCCTAGCTTAATTGAATATAAATTCTACTTTAGCCCTTTATAAATAAAAAGCCTCTAATTGGATATTGTAAAAATCTAAAACTATATATAAATTATTCTTGAATTAAGAGTAATTCGGCGATATAACTCTTAAATAAAAGATATAGAAGTCTATAAGCCTATTATTATAGATATAGATATTACTATAGTAAATAGTATAGTTATAAGCTATATAGAGTAAATAGAATAAGTAAATTAATATAGAATATATAATATAGAAGAAATTAATATAATAATATAACTAAAAGTATATTACCTAAGATAAATAAATCTATTACCTAGAGACTATAATAGAGTAATTAGTCTTATAGTTAATAATAATAATAATAAAAGAACTAACTCTAGTATAAATTATAATTAAATTAATCCTAGAATCCCTATAATTAGAACCTATATATTACCTCAAGATATAATTACTAGACCTAATCTTATTTAAGGGGAAAATAGCTGATTAGCTAATATAGTATATAATAATAGAGAATAAACTATATATTAATAGTATAGCAATTAGCTTACTCTAAGATTAGTTTATATATATATTCTTTAGGTTTAAGAAGCTTATTTAGAAGAATACTAGAATCTTTATAAAATTATAATAAAATAATAAGGATCTATAGATAATTCTAGATTATCTTAAAGGTATTTATAAGGACTTAAATATTAAAGTATATACTATAAGATATCTCTACTAGATATACTAGTTAAATAGTATATCTTTTATAAAATTTCTTCCTAGGTTAGAGAAGAAGTTTATAGATATAAATACTTTTAAATAGTATAATAAAATAAAGAGATAGATCTTATTAGGATCCTTAAATAAAAGTATAATAAATCTATTAATAAATTATAGTATTCCTACTATATTTTTAGATCTTATTATTTAGTTTTATAAAATTAATATTAATATAGATATCTTTAGTATTCCACACGACGGCAGACGGGGCGCCGTTTCCCGCGCCCATTCGCCCACTGTCCTGCCCTCCCCGACCGCCTGCCCCGGACTGCAGGCCCCCTGCCCCTTTGGGTGTCGCGTCCCCCTGCGCCCGCCCCATCGGGTTTAGTGCCGCCGTGGCCGCTTTTATCGCTGCTCCGGCCTGCCCTGCCATCTATAAAAGACCGCTCCTCCTCGTCCACGCCTTCTTCCCCCTCCCACATGTACTCTCTCCTCTACTCGCCTACTCGCCCCTCCGGCTCGACTGCGTGCGGCCCCTGCCCCTTTTGCCTCTCGCCCCCACCCTCGGACGCGTGGATCTCGGTTGCCTAGTGTATACGCCCCTCCCTTTCTTAGAGATGCTGCTCTACCCGGTTCCCAACTCGCTCTGGCCGGCTTTCGCTGCGACGCAAGTGCGTTTTGCGCGGACTCTGCGGTGAGGTCGGTTCCCGTCTTTCTGCAATCAGTCTAGATTTCTGTGATTATCCACGGGGAGACTTAGGGAGCACATCGCACGCGGTGGGGACAGACATAATGCAATGGTCCTTGGAAGACTTGATTGAAATTACGTCTGGCCCCCTAACCTTCAACCTTTGACCTCTCTCTTGGGTTGCATTGCACTACCCCCTGATCCCCCCTTTATGACGCCGCGTGGGCCCTCGAGAGAATTTGCGGGCATGTTACGTCCAGTCGATCTGTCGTATGTTATAGAGCTCGGGCTGATGAGCCAATGGCGAAATTACCGCATATCCCATAGTCTATGCATCAGAAGATCGGTGGAACGGCGCTGGGATAGATTGGACTGAGGTGACAGCGACGGTGACTTACGGAGGGTGCGACGGAATTTGATCTACTCTGGGTGGCTTATGAGCTGGCTTTGACTTGGCGAATCGACCGTCTCTTGCCATGGAATTTACCGCAGAGCTGGATTATTCTACTATAAAAGGATTCGCATTGCTATATGTATTGGGCTTTAGTGAATCGCTAGCCCTTCTTCCCTATCTACCCTTTCCTTCACTATCTTATCTATAAGCTCCCTGATTTCCAGCACACGAACCTTATTCTCCTATCCCGCCGATCCTGTCTCTGCTATCATTCCTTTCTAAGTCTGTTCTAAGATTCGCCCTCGTCTAACCCCGCCTTTATTATACGATTTGATCCGGCCATGGCAAACAGCACGTTTCGTCTGGAATCTTTCAGGGCGTGGAATCCTTACGAGAAGTTGGATTCGCCCCAAAAACGGCTGGATGTGTGTTGCTATCCAAGCCCTGTTTCTCTCAGTGCGGACTCGACTCTCAAAGACTAGACTTCTTATCCTCCTGAACCTGAGTGACACCCTCTCCCTATGCGCCCGCCGGTAGAGGTCTGTTTAGATAATGGCTCCTCGTCGAGCGCTTCAATCATTCGGTAACCAAATGCGAGGGATCGGGTTTCGACTGTGGACGGTGATCCTAGTAGTCTTGATTTCGACGAAATGCTTTCTCTTCGGAATCTATCAAGTCCTGGAGGCATTGATGACATACTTTACGAACCCTTGAATGGCCTTTTTGACCAACCAATCGACAATACGTTGGCTCATGGGGGTATCTTTTTGCCTGCTCTGGATTATACGCCTCTGGCCTCCCAGGCTCTAATTTCGCCCAGAGCGGAAGATTCCCTGAGCGAGTATCTAATGGATCCGGCAATCTTGGAGGAGTGCTGTCTTCCAGCTGTAGAAAAGAATACCACTGGAGCTGCATCTGCTTGTGTGACTTTCCGAGCTTAGTCTCCCAAAGTCAATAAAGTCTCTGTCGTTATCGATAATCGTTCTCGAAAGAGGTCAGCGCGGTTACCTCGGGGGTCTAACGGCAAGAAGGCATCATTTCCCACAATCCTGACTCATTTTTCTGCTTTGACAGCAGAGGACCGGATGCAATTCCTGTCCTGGCTGTTCGAAGGCGCTCTCTCTTAATGTCTTAATTCGCCCCTAAGCATAACGACAACTTCATCACGAGCGGCCTCGAGAGCACGTGCTGGATCGTGCACTGACTCTTCATCCGACTCGGAAGATTCTCCTGTGTACTTACACTCAAGGAAAGGTCTCGCATGGTCGGGGGAGGAAGATAGACTACTAGTGAGGCTTAAGGAGGAGGAGAAACTTGCATGGCCGGAAGCAATTGGCCGGTTTGGTCAGATCTTTCCCGGAAGAAGTTCGGGCTCCATCAAGGTACATTGGAGTTTAAAAGTCAGCAAACGACATTGACCGTATAGCGAATATTGCTCGTCTCGACAAATCTCCTAAGGGTTTTCAGTGTATCTTTATCGTTGGATATGATCTACTTCGTGTTTGCCTTCATAATTTAGTATTCAGTACAATCTCGCCTTTCCACCATCCTTTCCTTCATACTTCATTGCTTCCGTAGGAGCTGCAGCTGCGGCTGCCATACTGCACACTTATCGAACGCAAGTTGAATAAGTCAAGAGTCTGGCTGAGTAGGAAGTCGGAGATCGCCAATTCATTCCTATTTTAGGATGAAAGGAAGAACGCACCCCACTGCCTAACATAGATGAGGATCGTCGCGCACCTCCTGGATATGGAAGCGGTTGAGAAATTGTGAGTTATTTGAGATGTAAGCTTTATCCTTCACTGCAAGAGTCATTTTTGTATTCTGCTACTAGGTGTTTTTGTGCCCCGGTCCTCGTGAGACTGTTCCCACTTTCTTTGTAACTGATAGTCGGTACCCAGGCATATATAATAAGAGCAACCCCCCATTTCGACAATCATTCTATTCGACAAGTTCAAGCACAATCCGCCAGTCGCTCATCACTGAATATGGATAAATGCAAGAATGAAGAAACTCCCCAGGGCGATCTTCCCACTACTCAGCATCACGCTGGAAAAATGACCCTCTCCAGGCTAGAGCAGGCAAGTCACATCACGGCAACAGCAACCGCTCAACTTCTCGTAGCTAACCATCTGCCTCCGATGTAGGACCATTCTCTTGAAATTGCTTCTCTTGGTGATGAGAAGGAGAGCCGACAAGGTCAGTGTCACGTCATTATCAATTTGGTTGACCTGAATATATTGGGTCTGATGATATCCACCACGTAGGTAGCTCGTCTAAACGCTCCGCGCACGGCTTTTTCGGCACGCAAATTGATGCAACGTCACTTGTATTGAATGGTACTGCCACGGGCAGCATGCAACAAGAGGGTGGAATTAAGGCTCACTTGATCAGCGGTGGCTCTGTGAAGAATAACAGCGCCCTGTTCAATGGAGATTTGGACCCGGAAAGTTTCAAAAAAATGTTCTGCAGGGACCGTTAGAGTGATTGAACCAACACAATTGGCCTAGTATATCAGTCCCAGAATTCAAGGGAAAGATGCAATGCCAAGTAAATTCCGCTTTCAATCGTGAGATGAATATATACTTGATTTTTCCCCCTGAAACGTACCCTACGAAAGGTACCATCCTGTTGACATTGACTACCTGCTTTTCTCCTGCCGCCATCAGGCTTCACTGGACTACTACATCCAATTTTTGGGCCCATCATACTGCACATCTGTGGAAAGTTTCGGCATCTTTAAGGAGACGACCTAATACACACATGCGTCTTTGGGAAGGAATCGTTCACATTGCATAGATACTGCTCCTCGGTATAGACAGACAATTCAGTTATTTGCCGCTTTCTTTCTGAGATTATTTCTTTAGAGACCGCAAGAGAGCCCAAATAACCACTCTATTATGGCGCTGGATAGGACAAACTAAAGCAGGACCCGTCGTAGCTGGCTTTTTTTTCAGGCTACTTGCAGCAAGCATAAAAAAAAGAGCGTGTTCCACTTCTAGTTATTCCCTACTCGGAAGACCGAGGCATCAATGGATTCCGAGGAAAAAAAAACCAGGAAATTTTGAGACGAATTATCGTGCTGCAAGGAAAGAACGAAAGCGCAAATTTCGAGAAAAGTTCAACTTGAGTCGTCTTTTAAAGTAGTATTGATATACTTCACTGATTACGACAGTATTACCCGAAAGCTGAAGCTCGAATACATCGATAGAACAGTCATCCACACGTATCCCACTAGGTGAACCTCATGATTTCCTTTATCTCGTCTGTGATACTCTCCCAGTCTGCGACCTCTTCAACTAAGAGACTATCCTTTTTACCCAAGGTATATCCTTGCCGGATTGCAACTCCGCTTTCATAAGTTAGTAAGATTAGCAGAATACTATGATACCTGGGGGAAAAATTGCACATACAGGTAGTATGAAAGTCGGAATGCTTCACAGGTGTCGCTAAATTGATTCAATGTCAGTCGTGAGATGGATAATAAGCGTTGGCACTTACTTTATCGCCCCTACAAGATACAAGCCACCAATAACAGCGTTTCTTTGGAGTTTGTCAACAACCAGAGGATCCTGGAGGATATAATGATGGTCATCACTCGAAGAAAACTTGCCGTTGTTGATTGTCACAGACGCTCTGTGCAAGTCATCTCTGATAACTTATTAGCTATGAGTTATTATGAACCCAAGGAACTTACTCTGGCTTGCCGTCTAATGTGAATACTTGCCATTCGACAATGAATTCATGCTGCGAATCAAGCTTTTTGCCGTGAAGTGGTTCATGCACAGCGTTCATGCACTAAGCATGGATCCCGGGATGCTGGTCGCCACACCGGATGATCGTATCGCTAGTGTTGTGGGTCAAAGGCACCCAAGTGTAATAGATCGATTGACTTGGGCCTCCACCGCTAATGACTTGATAAAGACAATTCGTACGATTTGCGGACCCTAAGGAGCCAACTATATCACCTTTTCGAACCAGCATTATACCTATAATGATCATCTGGGTTTCTTTGTCGGACTGAAGAGCGGGTATCAATTTTGCTGCAGCGCAAAGCTTGTCGAGGATGGAACCATCAACCACCGAAGCGCATAATATATACGCCAACTTCGAGGCAGCTATATCTGATTAGACCCAGAGCTCATGTCACGAACAGCAGTGACAGACCTGTCTTGCAAATGCCAGATGGCGGCTAGTACTGTGAGTCGCCCTTCCGGCAGACCAACGGACGTATAATCTCAATCCATCTTTCAAACAAGTCTTTGCAAATCTTATGGGGAAGCAACCCGAACCTTGCTTCATAGTATTCGAGAAGCATCATGTAGGTGAATAACAAGAATTTGCTTTTGAAGGTAGGACTCTGGGAATCGATAAGTCTGGTTGCTTTTGAATCAAATAATTCTTTGATCTTACATCAGGAAGCTCGGAGATGATATATAGTTGAAATTATCTGTGAGGCAAAGCATTTTTGGGCAGAAATGACTGTAACCCTAGAGTAAATAATCTGCATATGAGTGCTTTAGGCTATTAACATTTAACAAGGCCGGATTTGTGACGAATGCTGTATGAATTGAAGGATTCTTTTCACCTTAAGCAGTGACAGTGGCTGCGACGCCATTTGATGAGAGGTATGTCGGTGAACCTAGTAATGGAGAGCTGAAACGAGTTGTATATGAATTTTGGCTAGCATGCAGACTGATACGACCAGTAATAATCATGCGGGTGATACAAACATCCTTGCCTGTTCTGCTTAAGAGTAGAGCCCTCTTTTACTGAAGTCATCTTTCTATGAGAGGCGACGCAGGTTATACCCAATGAACTTGATATTCGTCTCTTATATCACCCAAGCCACTAGTCTTTAACTTATTATTTTATACTATATGACAAAGATTATTCCGCACTTGGGTCAGAGTGATCTAAACGTCCATCCGCGCTAGTCTGAAATTTGATAATCTCCTCTCTCCTTCCCCTTCACACTCTGTGAAAATCGAATCCCTCTTTCGCAGCACTCAGCTTCGTGTATATCCTTTTTTGCGATACTGGATAATTGAAGTGGAATCACCGAGAGGTTTTCTAATCCAAGGACGATTCTGGTTGAATGGTAGGTTTGTATACGGTTTCAAAATGGGTGCGTAAAGCCTCTTCTGAAGGGAAACATTCGGTGCAGACTTTCTATCCACATTTGAAGCTAGCAAAGTATAAGTTTCAATAATCAGCAATTTAGAGATAGCTCACATACCTTTTGTCTCCTGGCCCCATGGGCTTTTTGGCAGAATGGGAGGTGTTTGGGTTTGCGGCTGGCATGTTGTTGGGATTGAGGTAATGGAAGTGACTTATTCAGATATATTGAAATAAGACTGTCCACCAAAGTCTGTCAGCGGCGGGACGAGGGTATTTATTTATAGGCGAACTTACAACATGAAGATTGCCCATTCGAGGGCTTCAACATACGGTCACATCAACCGGATAACCAGCTGAAACATCATTTAGCTCTGTATCGCAGCGTAAATCTTATACAGCCGATACGAAAATTACTGGTCTTAATTCGGGAACAGAAAATCAGTCATTTCGAGCAAGGGTCTTTGTTAATGTCACTGCCATGAGATACGGAGCATTTTTGATCTACTAAACCTCTCTGTCGTCCCCAATGCCTCCTAAGGCACCAATTCTTTCGCTTGAAAAATCTTGATATGTAGCTTGAAGAGATTATGTATACAATCTGGCTCCCCGTGAAGCCACGAACCACAACGAAGGACTCTAGGAGTTCCATCAGAATATTGCATAGAGAACAGCAAGTCAGGGCTATCAACTGTATTGTGATTGTACATCACGCCTAAAAATCCCCTGAAAACTTTAACCGAGGCTAAGGTTTTGATATCTAAGTATTTGGGCTAGGAAAACTGATATAAGCTTACGAAGAATTCAAACAAAACTTGCTTTGGAAGGAACCTACAGGGGACTCCGCCACTTGATATCCTCGTAGCATCTTGGACAAGCGATCCGGTTTTTCAGAAGAAGAACAACTTCTTGTTGTGTGAGGATATGCTCCCCTCCTCCAAGTTAATGATCTCGCCCCGAACATTAACTATGCAAATGTGTGCAGGTATAGGGGGAAGAATGAGGATCTCGTTCCCTGTACTGTGATGGACAGCTGCTGCTTATAGCTCGTTAGTTTGATCACTTTGAAAGTTAAAGACACCCACTAGGAATAATGTGGTCTCACAAGAATGTCTTTCTGGCAACTGATCTGCTGTCTTTGTGTTTGTAGCTGAAAACAAAGACAAAAAATCTACAAACCCGTTTCTTATACTTGTTAAAAACCTTTCTTGGGTGGTAGGACTAGGAGAACGTCCGCTAAGCTCGTTCGTTGGGGCGGCATCCTCACTTGCGTCCCAGAATGAAAGATCATCATCATCAGCCCCGAGTGAGAGAATGGAATGCAAGAACTTTGGAAGGAGTGAGAACTGTGCACAAGCCATAATGTATGTTTAGAAAGTTGAATTGTTCGCATTGGCGGCGATTGTAGATATAAAGATCTGGCCAGCTTGAAGCTGGAATGATCAAGCACAATTTCGAGCGCATAATATGGTACGAGACCCTCTTAACACTGGAAGCCATGTCGTCTAACTAATGGGAGGGTATTCATATTGAATTTCTTCTTTTCCCGGCCCGATCGGCTTTAGAGTCATTGTTGCGTCTGCGAACGGACTCTTTGCCTCATTGGAAGATCACTTCCCAGAATACACTCAGTGAAGATGCCAAAAAGGTACTACGAGCTTGTCAGTCCCTAAAAAAAACCCGCGATTTCCATAAGGTTACCATCGATGATGCACTTCTGTCTGCCACCGCAAAGCGGTTGGTTAAGTCTCTCAGCCGTCCAACTATTGAGAAGTTATCAGCTATCACCTGGAATTTCAACTCATCAGGTGGTTCATGTGAGGGGTTGCGCAATTTCCTCCGTTGTCCAAGAAATAACACAGTCTGGGAGGCAGTTCACGAATCGTACCAGACGATGACGAAACGGAAAATCAGTTTCAGGGAATTTAAGGCCTCCCATGACTTTTTACTTGACTAGATTGTAGGCTGACGCCGGAATTACTGAACAAAATGAATTAAGACCCCGTCGCAATCTGATATAGGTCTATTTTTGCCGAGTTATCATGTATCGAAATCTTCAATGTGATATCCTGAAATTTGAGACCAAAATCCGGAATCGACATCGATGCGCGATACTTTTTTCTTTCTTGTTATTGATTGACTAATGTATCTAAGATGTAACGTAAAGTGAGCGATAGCGTATCGAAATATTGGCTGACTTGTATTTTACTGATAAATTTAAAACGTACAAAACCGACCCTTAAGGGATGCTTTTACTCTTTTTTGGCTAGCGCTGGTGCGTCCCCGCACCACATGCTATACCATTTCTGCGTGCGGCTTATGTTTTCCAGTCTTCCCCTTTCACAATCTGTTTCTCAAATGTTCATGTGTATCCCTGAATATCGCCATGGACTTGATGCGTATTCGTGAACGTGCCTTGGCCCTTAACCTGGGTGAATTAAATGATTCAGAATACCTTCAACAGGTAAGAGGCCCTCCAGTTGGCATCCGGCAAGAAGTTAACAGGGAGTGAAGGTTGTCGATTTTATTGTTTATAATAAAACCCGTCTTCCAGAAAATCTCAGGCACTCGTTATATGAAGCATTTGGCAAAAAACCTTTGCAGGGGCCATCTCCTTGTTCCACTCGTCAAGAGGCCCTAAATCGGTTGCGACGTGTCACTTTGGAAGACATACAGATACCTGAATACCTTAGGGATTCTATTTCCTTATACAAACATAATGGAGAATTATTCTGGGCTGGCGAAGTATCGAGTTCCACAAGCCTGGATTTTGGAAATATTCTTAGTGTCCTTTATTATTCGAATAAACGAAGAACTACAGCCGATAACGTTCGCCGAGCCTTTTATTGTATGACACTCTACCGCGTTGTACAGCGTATAATGGGACTTTACTTATCCAAAACCTTTACTACTAAAATCGCAAGATTCTGCGCTGATATTATCCATAAAGACAACGGCACTGCGCAAGAGAAGCTTGAAGATATAATTCAGGGACTGAAATCTGACTACAAAATTGGCGGTGTGTACGACCTGTATGCATAGAAGGAAGGCAATGGTATTATATTTTATCTTTTTACATTGCCATCTGCTTTGTGAGCTGATCTTTCTTTCCTCCCGAAACGAGTCCAACACACTGCTAACTTTTGATAAGATACGAAAAATACTTCAACAAAGAAAACGATGTGGATGCAGTCCTTGCTTATTACAAATCAACTGGTTTCCGACAAGAAGATTCTGGTATTTCTGTAGCCGATAGCATAGTCAACTTTATTTTAAATAAATTTAACTCATAGGTGTCTATCTTTGAATTATGTGAGGCTAATCAATTTATTAAGCCGACACGCAAACGCAGCTATTGCAACAAAGCTCGGGCAAAATAACCATCAAAGCAGGCGAAAAAGAATAATCACTCTTAAGCATTAAGATCTACGGACTGTCCGCAATTTGCTGGAAGTGCTGAGGCTATGAGCGATGGAAGACGACACCCTGCAAACCCCACTAGTGTAGAATTTTTTGATCCAATGAATTCGCATAGTGAACTTCATGCTGGACATTGTGGATTGCAGCCCTCTATCGCTGCTGCTATGGAAGGCTCTGCTTACCCCTATCATGCACACGATTCTTCTGGCATGGCATTCGAAGCAATGAATCCCGTGGGAAACGATCAAATATCTAGCGGACTAACCAAGGTAAACGCGGCACTCCATTTAAATGTGGGCTTGGCTGCCAGCCAAACTCAACCGCTCCCTTTGAGTGTGAACACGCTAAGTGATGCCGCTCACTTAATGAGTGAATTCCAATTGGAATCGTTGATATATGGTGCTAATGCTGCTCAGCTTATGTATGACTTCTATTTAGAAACTTTCAACCCCGCAGACCGTATCAATGCTGCCCAGCTGATGCAGCAATTTGATTTGTGTAATGGATACTATAGTCAGCAGTACTTGTGAGAAGGTGAAACACAGCCTAAGAAGCATATATACATACTTCAATGGGTTTTAGATTCAATCTTGATAAAAATGATATTAATGCTCCTCTTCCATCATCATTGAATATCCGACATCGCCAATGTGACTAATTTGCTATGTTCCTCAACTTGAACATCACATTCTTTCAAAATGACGTAATAATGCTTCATGTCGACTTCAACGCCGCTAATTGTTGATTTGCCTTTGCAGTATATTGGCTTAATTATCATGAAATTTGTGCCTATTGGTGTGTATCCGGGCAAAAAGACCAGTCCGCCGCGCCTGCAGCGAGCTATTTTCTGAGGACGCCCCGGGAATTTGTCTGTATTCTGATTTCAATACTACGTCAGTAAAAGCTGGCTATCGATTGTAGAAGCCCTACCTTTTCGTAGTCGAGTGCTACGCCACGTATAAGTTTATTGCAAGCACTAGAATCCGTAAACGTGGGCTGGAACGCTGCGGCCTTTGTATTTCTCGCCAAAGCATCTTTAGCGATTTTGTCTGCATTTGATTCTACCTCCATCCATGCCTTGCTCTTATTGAGAAGCGGGACGCTTTGTAGACGCAGGACAGCGGGGGAGTGTGTATCACTTGCAGACATTGTGTGTGTAGATCATTCGATTTTCGGCGTGACAGAATTTTTCTAGTGAGAAAAGTACTTGCATTAGCAGCCTTTCGGGTGAGAATTTAACTGTGGGATCCTGATTTAGCCACTCACTTCTTGTTATGGCAATGATTAAACCTCTGGCTGCTTGTGTGTTCGCATCAACAGAATTTGGAGGGGTGAGGGGCGGCGGTTTTTGTTGTTATCTGACTCCTTAAGTCTATTGCTGCCTAATATAGGTATGACTAATATGTTAAAGCAGGTTTATTTAACATTTCCTGCTTTATTTCTATGGAGTATTCCTTGGGCGAAAACTGTTCGGACCACGCTTACTAAATGAATAATTGAATGATGAATGTTAGACGACGTTGAGCCTGAAATCCTTGAGGTCAGATGGTCCGCAGTGTTTTGAAAGCCTATGGAATTGGTCTAGGCTGCCCTCTAATCTGATCCCTGTCCTAGCGCTGCGGAATCACCTCCGATTACGCTCTATATACTACGTGTCAAATCAGTTGAAAATTACTTTAAATTTGATTAATTCTCAAAGACGCTCCTAACTTATCCTCTAGATTCTATTTTTTACCTTTCCTTGAATATGGATGTAATCAATCACAGAGGGGGAGATACTCTATTCGTTGTTCGGTCGCACGGTCGTTCAAGTAGGCGAAAATCTGGTCATAAAGTCGAGTAATATACGTTCGTACGAAGCGCAAACGCTTCGTTTCATTGCAGCAAATACCACGATCCCTGTACCTAAAGTTCATGATGTCCGTTCGGAAAACAGCCAAATCGTGGCTATTACGATGGATTATATGCCTGGAAAGCGACTCGATGAAGCGTGGCATACTTTGGATTCCAATCAAAAGCTCTCCTTAAACCAGTGCCTGACTGGCCGGAATATCTGTTAGCCAATAGAAGACCTTGGCTTGCCGCCCAAAGTATGCTGTATACAACACTAGCGAGTCTAAATGGTGATCATGTAGTTTCCTTGCCCCTGCCCATTTACCAATGCGTCTAAAGTTTATTGGATATGGCGCTCACAAATGTTTGGATTGTTTCAGTCACTAGGTTGTCTCGTTGAAGCGCTTTCAAAATTAGACTGTCTTGGATAAGTCATATGCCCCCGCAAATTAGTTAAATTCATATAGCAATTACTATTCAAACTAGTGATTGGATCAAGAGGTAGATCCAGGATTGGGCCCCTGGTTAAGAATAGCGTCCATGGGTCTGGTTTGCTCACCTGGCTGAACTTCTTTAGCCGCGCGCGGACTGAAACTCTATGGTTGTACCATTCACCGGGAAGGGGCGATCTATCAACTACTGGAAAGGAGTACCACATAGCCATGTGAAATATCACTCCTCTCTTTTCAATTTGAATCAGCAATATGTTTGAGAAACCGTTGAGATATAAGACAGAGCATCCTCCCCCTCCCTATGCTTAATCCCCCATCCCTCCGGCTGCCAACGAATCCTGCTCCTATCTAGTGATATTATACACCGATATCTGACAAGGGTGAGTTCAACCGACTTTGTATTTTATTTCAGCCGAGTTAGCTAACTTCGCCTGCTAGCCATGTCTGGGTTAAAGAACTCTGGAAAGAGGGCAGTCGATGCCATCCTGAATCTACAAAAGATCGATGTTGCTTTGTAGAAATTCACTAGACCTACCGTTGCAGCTGGAAAACCTACTTTCCCGACTTCTTAACGAGACTTGAAAAATATCGGGTTCCATTTCGATCTTGCCGATCATACTCGCTAAGTGCCCGACACTAGACCCAATGCAAAGCCAGGCGTTACCCGAACCATGAATGTTTTCCACTGGCAAGCAGCTTCGCAAGCCGAGTCCAAGTCAATCAAGGACTAGGTCCAAAAGAATGGATTATATGCAGTGATCCAGACATTTGAGGTCCCAGTAGATGCGACCAAGGAGGAGTTCGAGGAAATTCTTAAAGTAGCAGCGAAAAAGCTTTAGTTTCTAGGTGTCACGGACGTACTGTCAGGGGTATACGTCATCAACACTTATCTGGATGTTCTGTGTGTGGGCGGTGGGCTCGGCGCCGAGAACTCACCTTGGTGACGCAAGGAAGTCTTTGAGGTGTAGTGATGCGACACGGCGGCGATCTTGGTGATTCAAGACCTCGGTGATGCGAGGAAGCCGATGGGAAGTGGGAAGAAGAAGGGTGTCAGTGGGAAGTGGCTCATGGGAGCAGAGCTGTGAGGGATGTAGGATCTTAGAGGGAGTTTGGCTGCGGCGTGGTGATGCACGTCGTTGGGAGATCACTATTATGTTTGTTTTGGTTTGTGTTTGTTTGTGCTGTTTGCTGCGTTTGCACACTCTTTCCGTATTTCCTTTGTCCATGTTGTATTTACTTTGCTTCCTTGGTAACGGTATGCCTTTCAGGTATGCTTAGGGGTACCCAAAGCCTGAGCCCGGCGCTGACGTTATTTTTCCTTATCTATAGCTGGCCTGATAGCAACCCTGGCATAGCCTACGAAGTAGGCTATAGTAGGTCAATGAATTCTACTACTACTATTACTTCAACACTCATCTATCACTCTACCGATCGTGAAGGATTAGGACTATGGAAATACTCGCATAACATTATGTATTTAGTTATCTATCTGCATGCGATCTGCTCTTCATACTGAGACTACCACTTAGAAATCAGACTGCTAACTTGTTATTTTGCTACTATGCTATGGGACTTCCTTGAATGCTCGATAAGAATAGCGAAGTCGCATTATAGAACCCTGCTGAATATGGGTGGGAAATCGATGAACTATTTTCCCCTTACACCCCTAGGTCTGTTGAGTGATCTATTAAATACTTGGATTAGTAATTAGAGATGTTCTAAGAATAGATTGCCTGAACCAGTTCTGTATGAGGCACCGAAGACGAAGGCGGATATGGCCTAGGGGCTTGGTAATATGTTGGGCTGACCTTATCTCTTTCCGTCCGACCACGGCTCCCCTAGATAAATAAGCCCGCCCGCGTCTAATATCTTTATACGCTCCAGTTCTTGTCTCTGTTATTATTTTTGGACGATGGTGAAGATTTCCCGAAGACTCATTATTGAAAGAAGTTTCCCGCAAATTTCCTGTTCCCGTAAAACGTGGATCTGGTCCGGGCAGCTTGCCATGTCCCCCCGTCGCTTATCTATATGCCTACCCCTTTATGAAGAATTCTTTCGAAATACATCACGCTGATGGATGTCAGTCAAAGGTCTAGTATGATTTTGGTCTCAGTGACTGATTTTTTGTTAGATTCAACGAGGCCGAACGTTTAAATGAACGATACGTCAAGTTTCAACCAACAGAGCTCCAACGGATCGCGGGCGAAGCAGTACAACAAGACTATTGCCCTGATATTGCTAAGCTTGCGGAGGGGGGCTTCAACAAAATTTTTATTCTGCGGGTAAAAAATGGTCGTGAAGTGATTGCACGAATTCCTACCCCCATTGCCGGGCCGCCTCGTTACACAACAGCCAGTGAGGTAGCGACGATGAACTTTCTGCGAGATGTTCTCAAACTACCTGTACCGGAGGTCTTAGCATACTCAACAACATCGGACAACCCCATTGGAGCAGAGTACATTCTGATGGAGCGAGTGTATGGAGAAAGTCTTTCCTCGCGGTGGTTATCCCTCACGACCGATGAGGTGAAACACGTCATGACACAAATCGCAAGTATAGAGAGGAAAATTTTCGATTTCCAGTTTCCCGCGTATGGAAGCTTATATCACAAGAAGGACCTTGAAGATGAAAGCCAGATACAAATCACGGAAGATTTTGTTATCGGCCGTGTGTCTGCCCGGCAGTTTTGGTATAGCGAACGAAGCAGAACAGAGATTGACCGTGGGCCTTGTAGGTTTTCTATTTCCCCCCTAACACCTTCCTTTTCCGATGTTATAAGAGGAACCGACATGGCCTTGGCTGATCATCGTCAAAGGGCTTTCACCCGTAGATTGTGTGACCTCTGCTGCTCGCCGAGAGATGGCTGTCATCCAACATCACGCCCAAGCTCAGCCTCGCCAAACATTCCTTTTACTAACTAATTATAACATTCATCCCTCTGAATATGCCTTGTTACTTTCGCAATTCCTACAGTTGGCACCTCATCTCATCCCACCTGGTTCTTCCAGCGCTCCAACGTTAAGACACCCTGATTTGAGTCTGAGCAATATATTATTGGTACTTGGGTCAACTGAAATTATCAGCATAATCGATTGGTAAGATGCGGTGATATATCCACGCTTTATGCAAGCGGGATATCCTGCTTTTTGTGAGCATGACTTTTCCCAGCCTCAAAGTCTGCAGATTCCATCTCTCCCCGATGATTTCAGTAAGATGGGCTCCGACGAACAGAGTCAATCCATGGCCAAATTTAGATTAGAAGAGGCAAACCTCTACTATACAGCCGCGACCGGTGTATACAACGACCAACATATGCATGTGTTGAAACTCCCTCACCTGGGAATGCAGCAGTATCTCTTTCGCCAAACAGGGTATCCCTGGGATGCAGACGTAATTAACTTATGTGCTGTATTGGTTGGTATCACGACTCCATCGGTCTGGAGCAAAATATCCCCCGCAGACTGTCCAGTTGTGTTCAGCGATAAAGAACGAGAAAAGGCTATAGCAGAATCGTAGGATTGGAATGAGTCTAAACAGCTACTGTCCCGTATTAGAGAATACCTTAATATCGATCTGGAAGGCGGAACCGAGCCGGACAACTTTGAGAAGGTAGTGGAGGGCAATCGCCAGTTTCGTGTGGAAATGGTCAGGCAAGCAGAGGTAGGTGAACAAGAAATTTGCTGGCGTAACTGGCCGTATAAGGATGATGGGGATAATAGTATGCCGCCTTTTGGAGGAAGCTAATTAACAAGATATATTAGTTTACGGAAAACAAACTTTGGATTAGTCTGGTGCATATATTATATATTTGAACCTTGAATTTGAGAATTACGCAAAGTTAGAGTCTTAACAGTCAATATCCAACAGGCTGAAGCAGATTCAGTATGGAAGAAGCGCACCTTGAAACGTCTCGGGCAAGCCATATGATTATGACCCCCAGCCAATTTTGACAAGTAGTTGAAACTTATGAGCTAATATTTCGCTAGGAGTTGCTGGGTAGAAATTTCGCGAATTGATTATAGTCAGGGCAGACCTCGTCAACAAGTTCCTACTGTGGAATTGGAGGCATAGGGTTAAGTAGTAGCCGCCAGAGCGACATTTTGGCGAGTTATCAGACAACATAGTACGCCTCGGTGTCAAGGCCAGGCGCCAAGGTAGGGGCATTAGGCTATTGAAGGGTAGTTAGAGTGTTTTAGAGACGATCAAAGAGCAAGAAAAAGAAGAAGCTAAGTTCTATGTTCTCTAAGTTACAAAGAGGTTAGGGAATTATGACTAAGCGCTAAGCCTTGAGTAACTATGCGTCCGTCAGGTAAGCTCACCAAGCCTAAATTTGTGTTAATTTCGAACGGAATCATAGATTTTAAAGATACATAGCCATTCAGGAGTACTTCGCAAATGCGTGACAGGAGATTATCATTCATAAAGAGTCTATTTAGATCAAGTAAGTCATATTGTCTACTGAATTATATAAATCATATAAGCTCACTGGTTCACTTACACGTCCGTTTACGCCAACTCAACGCCAAAAGAAAGACGGTCTACGATAATCATAAAGCTTCACAAACCAAGCAGGCGATTTCTAGGCATATATATCTATTCTTGAAGATGGCCCTGAGCTACACTGGATACCGCCTTAGTGCTAAAAGCTTGCTAAACCTGAAGTGGAGTAGTTTTTTGAGACGCCGTAGTAGCACAATTCTCCTACGTTTGTACAGACTGCCGCGTAAAAGCGTAAGAAAATTGGCCTGTGGTTAACAAGTGAACTACCGCCGCATCAAGTGTAGGGTAGGGTTTAACGATATGCGGCTGATCGTTGAGTATATATGTAATCAACGCATCTAATGAAAAGCGGGTGTTATTTCTGTATCTTAGTTAACGATATCCAATTTCGTCTTCGCTATATAATCTTACTTATATTTTCTTCGCCGCTACCCTGCTACACCGCAGGAGAAAGCTGGGGCCAAAAAACCGGACACACCACCACCAATACTCCCCAATTTGTTTATTATTATAGAAGGATTTCTTTTTTCTTCTTTTCTCCAGCCCTGACAGCCCACTTGTCTGATATAGATTGTTAGTGGTAGTTTGTTTGAGAGCAGTCCCCGCAGTGCCGTTTCTTCTTTTGTATTCAATTTCTCTTTCGTGCAAAAGGAAAAGAAGTACCCTTGAAACAAGAAGCCTCAGATACTGTATCTCATCATTGTTTTGCAGAGTCACTAGGTAGTTTATAAGGCCTGCGCGATCAGGCGACGAGTTCATACTCGATGTCTGGTTAATCTTCCAAGTCGCCCCACTCCAAAAGCCAGACGCGAACCAGCGCTGGGAATGTCGTTCCAGAAATTTTGGAAAGTCAGGCATGAGAAGATGGTCACCAGTGTTACGAACTTGAGATCTTGCCCTTTCAGTAAGTCTTGAAAAGGTTACGTCCAGGGGGCTGGGTTCCTGTGTCGCACTGGGGTCTGCAGGCTCGAGAAGAGGACTTCCAGGAGTTGAACTGAGTGAAGACAGGTCATCACTAACGACCAAGTCTTCATCGGCCAGCAAGGACGACTTGGATGCTGCTGCCTGTATGCTATCATAAGGTGAGGTGGCATTATGACTTGCGTTTCTTGCTGTTGGATCATCAACGTCTGCGGTGCGCTTTCGTTTGCGGTTCTTGCTATGCCCAGACCCTACGTCATCATTAGCCTGACGCGATACAGGCGAAAGAACATTTGCAGGAGAGGAGGCAGACGAAGCCGATGCAAGTGCGAGCTCTGAGACTGTGGCATGTGAGACTGCTGATTCTGTGACACAGCCGTCTCTGGGATGAGGGTCTCCAGATGATTCTCCGACTTGTGCTGGTATCTTAGGCTCCGTCTCCAAGGTCATATTTGGCATATCAGTAGAACTCCTCAAAAATTGATCGACACCTCCCAAGATGGTCTCCATTTCTTCATCTCCTAGATTGTCTTCGGTCGTGAACGTGGACATAGGATCAGGATAATGCTCGACATCGGGAAACAACCGTGAGCTATTAACGAGGACTCCCTGATTGCGCCCAGTGGAAGCCGGTTTCAATGCATTGGGGACTTTCCCTATGTCTGCGCTAGCAGAAAAATCCGTGAGTGATGCTTGAGAGCATGGAAAGAGAACTCCCGGCGCGCCCGTCTTGCTTGGGGAAAGATTTACGGGGTAGTTGATGCGCTCTTTCTCTGGAATAGGCGTTGCTGGTGGATTCGATCCGGGTGTAGGATAGGAATTAGTGGGGCTTAGAAAGGGGGTCTCAGGTGCAGGCGTAGACTCATTCCGAGACCTTCCGTTGTCTGCAGGTGATCCTGCCGCCCAATCTATTTCCATTTCGTCTGGTTCTTGGGAGACAGGACCTGGAGGGACATCACAAGGCGAAGTAGGGGTCGAGACAATAAAGTCCGACGATTTAGGGCTATCGGGAGATCTTGGCGCTGTTTGGGGAATGGCTTGTTGATTTTCTGTGATAATATGACGCTGTATTTCAACTCCATCCGCTTCAGCCCCCTTAGAATGTAAATTTTGGTTATTTAGGTACAACACATTGTAGCCGGGAGTGGCAGGATCCGAAGGCACAGGAATAGACCTGGATTGCGCAGAGGTTCCAACCGCAGTGGACCTTGCACATAAGGCCGTGATGTCGTTGACAGTATTGGTCGCTGGGTCCTCCAGAGCCAATCCGGTGCCGTCACGTTCGGCTGCTTGATTTAATAGAAGCGCAAAGTCAAAGGAATTGGATACATAATTGTCAGATTGTGTCGAATTATCTGCCCCATCGTCGAGGTTGTCGAGGTTGTCGAGGCTGTCGAGGCTGTCGTGATCGTCCAAAGGTTGCGTTTGTTTGTTTGATACACCGTCTACTTTCCGTTCGTCCATATCAGTCTCTAAAAGTGGGGAATGGTTTGGCTGTTCTTCAACATCAGTCAACCCCCGTATCACAGTTTGACCTGAATGCGACATTGTGGACGGTATGGTCGGGTCCGAATCTCCCACACTGGCTTCGCGACGATCTGAATTATTCACACTTAGCATCCATCATCCGGGAAATCGAACAAAAGGGAATCTCACTTATTTGATGAGACGCAACCGGTACAGGCGCTTGTTCGCGGAACGAATCATCTTTAACAGCGAAGTCATTGAGGCAAGGCGCAAACACCCGAGTTCGCTCCAAGAGGTCAACGGCCTCGTCATGGGAAAGGGTCGAAAGTACATCGAAACCTAATGCAAAAACCTGTATGAACTATGGATAGTTAGAAGTGCTCATGGGAGGTTTGCGAGCGAGCTTGGGAACAACGTACCATATTATCTGTCCGTCGAGAACGGTAATATTCTAGACATGCTTCATCCTGTTTCTTCTGAAAGGGCAAGTGAGTAAAGTGGCAGCTTGCGTCAGGGTCAAACTAACCTTAACCGAGAATGTGACGCTTACCATTTCCACGCACAAGTTGACACGCAAGTATGGAGCTTGAGAAACTAAAGATGGCGCCAGGTATCTGGGGAGGTCGAGGGACTACGACAGTGGAGCTGGCGGTAGAGACCACAGTGGCAGTCGGTTAATGCCCTTACATTTTGCTCGCCATTTGATCAATTGATCAATTGATCAATTTCACCAGCTCCACTGCGCGAGCATCACAAGATCCTTGGTTAAAGATCCTTGGTTACGGCGTTATGCCGCATATGCGGAGATGCATTTGATGAGATGTTTTTTGTGAGCAAAGAAACAACATTGTATGCGTTTAATCAAGATGGTCAAGACAGTCAACCAGGGGGGTTGAGTAAAAAGTGGTTTTCAACGGTGAACAGGAAACTGAGGGGTATAAACGTCTGGTTATGCTATATTAGTCAGCAGCGGTCAGCAGCCAAGTTTAGAATTGTGCCAAGGCGGTCTGCCGCACGGATACTGTCTGGTGAACTTCAGAATACCACTTGGGCTGCCAAACAGATGTAAGACTTAAATATGCATTTCGCTAACACCTTAGAATAATTGCGGTCAACACGACCGAGATGCTGTTCATGGGAAAAGTTGTCTGAGAGTATAGTATTTTGTCTGCAGCCAAACCATGTTGTGCCTCTCTATTTAGCTTGTCGCGCCAAGACGCTTTTTATTGGCCATTTGAAAAATGCGTTGTGGATGCGTCCCTGGATAAAGTTCTGCGAGGTGGGCGCTGTCTTGATCAAGATAGCTTACATAATGTTCCCTCCTCGGTAGAATTGTTTTATGGCCAGTAGATAGCATATTTTCTTTATGGCTGACGCAGTCTTAGTATTCTCCACCTATCAGTTCTTACATGTAGCCTCCCCATTTGTCTGTTCTGATTAACCAATGCTGGTTAACGCTCCGTGAGTGTCGCGCGTTTGCGAGGTAGGAATTCGTCTTGCTTAAGAGGATAAGACAATCTGCACTTTATAGTACTGCTCATTCCTTTATCTTGCTAAGACTTATAATTGGCCTTTCCTAGCACTGCCGCTACGTTTTAGTCCCTGTGTAGGGATTCTAAGGAGGGTGCCGCTGCGTTTCACTGCTATAATTACAAAATCTGGCGCGACTGAGCCCTCACCTTCGGCTTATCTTCCTATTTACAGGGCGTTAAAATGATTTTATCTATTTCTTCAATTATACTAAGGGGTAGCGGGCATGACCGGCTTGACAGATTGTAAGACCATAGTTTTTGGTCTTTTGTTATTTAAACGTACATATTGACCATTTTTCTGAGATCATCAATCTGGCACTCCGAAAGGAGCTAGCTTATAATGCTAAAAAAAATGATTCTGTACTCGGAATGCTCAATGAGGATGCTCGAGGTCGCCGAGAATAACCTGAACGATTTCCCGTCTAAGGCTTATAAATCCCCCCCCCCACCCAAACAGAATATTCTAGTTTTGTTATCCTGGTGACTACCCTCAAGTTTGGGATACTGTCTTTATCTGAATGTGGACTACGTTAGGTTCACGTGACTTTTCTTATTCACACTATGGTCGCGGAGACGAGAACTATGGAAGGATGAGGTGTTTTATAAGCTTGTTCCCTTAATGTATCATCTGAATCACTAAAATGGCTAATAAGTATAATAGATATGACAGTATGCTTCATCGAGGTGTATTTTGAAATAAGTAATTATGAATTATTCTCGTGATTTTCTACTTCTGGAGTATTCGTTCCGGTGTGATGATCAGTCTGAGACTTGTTAAGCTTATGAAGGTAATCTACTTTCTCTTGAATCGGGTGGGGGTAGTATGATTCCTGTGGTTACTCGATTAATAGATGTAATTCGGTTTGGATGCACTATGAAATACTAGACTAGACAAATCTTTGACCTACCCATTGTCTGTAGATGAGTCAAGGATATATATTTGTCTAGTTTGACGGACACGGATAGCCACGAATATGTCGGATTCACATTTGAACATAAATTCTTTTGCTTTCTTGAATAGACTTTGTTTACGTTGATTCTGTTGTTGTGTTTTTGCACGAGAACTATTCGATTGGTGTTTCTTTATCTACGAGAACTTATTGGACGCTATGTAGCCGAGGTACCGCTGAGAAATAGTTTATTGAGTATGCTCCTAGTTCTGGAGGTAACGGAAGCCATTAAATATTTTGTGTCGGACCCTGAGTAGAGAGTCACTGCGGCAGTACCGAAGTGGATTGGCATTTTATCGGGAATAATGGATGTCCCTGTACCCTAGGGAGTTAGCCTACTGTAGTGAGACTCGCTCTTATTTAAGTGGGCTTTCGTGAAATTATCATTGAATTATCAAATGTGTTGTTTTCAATCCCTGCTTCCTTAAGTTATGATATTGTAAATTATGAATGTACTCTATCTATGCTGGGTGTTGCTACGAGAGGCATTCCCCCCACCCCGGTGTCAGCTTATTCGAAAATCGATCTATCTTTATCCATCAGCGATTTTTCTACTCGACAGTTTCGACGCCTGACTGCCATGATTTACTAATATACTCTGACTTGAGACTTTTATTTAGAGCAATATCCTTACTTATGTGCTGTACAGTTGTTTAATAAAGCTCTGAATTTACTCAAAGTGGATTCACTTATCTAGAGACGTCTTCGACCCGGAAATCGAATTCTTATTAAGCCGATATTTCACTTAGCTGCTCTTCCCTATGTTATGCTTTACACTCGATTAATTGGACTTGAGATATGGTGGTGCTAAAATATAAATAGAGGTTCTGCGCCTCGCAAATGTGAAATCTTGTCCGGGAAATGCCTTGGATTTGATTATTTTTTCTTATAAAAGTGAAGTGAATACAGTTATGCTGGCACTGCACTATTTGAGTCATTTAGAATATGATGGGGAGAATGCCGATTGTCCGGGATGAGAAGTATCGTATATGGATGGTCAGTGTGTACCTCTCAACGTTGGTGATCTTACAAATTAGGAAACGATCAACAGGAGATCAGGGTTGCGTTTGGGTTGATCCACGCAATCTGAAACGAGACGTCTCGCGAACACCCTGCCAGATACAACGAACGTCATTCTCCTTACTCCAAACTGTATCAATAGGGCCTTTCCCCACTTCTCGCCCTGTGCTTCCTCACCCTGCGTGGAGCTATAGGGTGAGGCCCCCAAATGGTGATTCTTGTCCTTTACTTTTTCTTTATTCCTTTTCCCTTTTCCCTTTTTTTGTTATTTTTATTTGTAAGATTATTCATTTTGGGCCTTCACTCTGTTTCTCCTGGAATGTCATAACTTTTCCCTCCCTGGGGTGATGAAATACACTATTGCAGACAGCCGGGCGGGCGCGGCGATCATGGCGCCTAGCGTACCGGGGTGTGACTTCTAGACTGCGTCGTTCTATGCCCTTCTAGGAGCCCTCACTTTTTGGCGACTTGGAGGAAGCCATTTATGGCTCCTTCCCTATAAAAGGATACTAGCTTCCTTCCCTCTTTTCCTTTCGTTATTTCCTGTGCTATGACCCCCCACCTGGTTCGTTTTCCCATCTTCTTCGCTATTTAACAAACGATGTACTTTCCTTAAGCACATTTTGCTGTTTCGTATAGTCAATAATATCCGATTTTATTTTATCATTTCTCATCTGTGTGTGTCGTGAGCTGGTCTTAAAAAATGATTTCCCTTTCGATCGGCCCCAAGGTGAGTGATTCTTTCTGTCAAGGTGTGCCCGCCAAGTCGCTCACCATGCCCTAAGCATGAAAACGATAGGATCGATGGGCTAGAATGGGACCAAATTGCCCTTTCCGAAGTGAGTGGATGTCTTTTGCTTTCCCTTGATGAATAATGCTGATTCTGGTTCAGCTGGTGAATCGGCTTGGTAAGAAATTAGAATTAATCGGACAAATGGATCAATCTTTAATGGCAACAATTTTGTTATTCACCCAAGGAGGTGGATTTATCCAATGGTACGAACTGCTGGATATCATGTGGCAGCCTATAGCGTCAAGTGAGAAGACGTGGTGTACAGTGATATCATTCATAGTCTTGTTCAAAGTGAGCTCTCTAGCGGAGATTCGTGAGAATGAATAGCTTATATCTACCAAAGGCCACTGACCCTGGGATGGACCCTATTACTATGAATGAAAAAAATTTATATACGGTATGTTAGGCAACAACCCCCTGCAGTATTCTACTAACTATTCCTAGTTTGTTCGAGCACTTGGGACCGACCTAGAGCAGCTCCAGGGACTGTCAATGTCTCAGATGATCAGCGTTTCATACTGGCTTATGTGTGCTGGGTTCGTGAAATCTTTTGTGGTCCAGGGAAGTTCGCACGAGATTTTCCAGGCAGAACCAGGTGAGTTATCCAAGTCAACATGTTTTATGATTTGCTTGCATATCAATTCTTAATATGTGTATAACAAAGATCGGACAAGCATTGCCGACTCATTTCCCTCGACACCCTTTTCTCCTTAAACAATGACTCCGGAAACTGTCTATACCCCTAGATGTGAATTTGACGGGGCTTCCTGCTATCCTACGCCGTCTACCATATCCGCTGAATCTGCGCAAATTATGGATCAATCTACCATTACTACGAATGAGCCCGATTTTGCCAGCGAATCAGTCCAGATGAACGGCGTAGATCAGACCACCCTCCGCTTATTGCGTTCGTGCCGAGTGCCGGTAAAGCGCTCTCGCGGGGCTTAATGTTCTAGCGAAGAACTCGTCGGGATTGAAAACTACCAAATCTTAAAGATCCTCCAGGTAAAGTCTCTTCTTATCGCCCCGAATCCCGATAAGATGTTGAGGCCCCTATTGGACAAATGGGACATACATATGTCGCTCAACCTGTCAACGCTGGGACTACTATTGTAATGGAGAGGGACCCAGGCTGCTGTGGATTTTCTTCGACTGCTAGATTCTGAGACTAAAATAACCCCTTTGGATCCCCTTACGAAACGATTTGCCCAAGTTATACTTTACTTCAATTACAAGGAATTATATAAGACACCTGAGAGATATTGTTCTCTATTATTAGGGAAGTCCAAGAAAACTTCTGTTCTGGAAGCCATTCTGGATTGTTATACTGACGACCCTCGTATATCAAATACCCGACAATCTTGGCGTAACAGAATAACTACCTATCATGTACGACAAGGCAAATGGTGGTGGAGGCTCGCAGGTAATTGTGGAGCTGGATTACTCTTCACTGTAGACCCTACCCTAATTGAGACTATATACGTATTCTCTCATTCGACTCTGACTTGGCCTGACTGATTGACTCTGCTATCCTAGGTGTAACTATACGTTCACTGACGCTCAGATTGACGTTCTTGTAATCTTTATTTTAAAAACTTGCCCTGGAAGTATTCGACTATTTAAGGAATTAGGCCCCGTTGTCGAATCACTTATGGTTAGAGAGGTACAGTATGACCTTCGACAAACCCTTCTCAACAAAAAAGATGGCCCGTTTGGTGAGCAGAACCTAGCCCAAGTCTTCGAAGACGATAAGCATGTACTTGCGTCCCAACGAATTGAACTTCCTTGGGAGATAGTGGACTCTAAAGCGGCTGAGGAGGGTCTGCCGAAGTTTTGATAGCCTACGTAGTACTAACCTGAGACTTGGCCATCTCACATTCAGAAGATGATACTTATCGGGTATAAGTTCATCTGTTATTAAGCTTGCCGGTATGCTGTAATTAGTGCTCGTTTCGTATTTAGCTTGAATCGATTTCGTATAATGAAAATAATATCGTGTCAAATATAATTGGCTTCTATCTGGATTTTGGTTCCTCAGTCTCGTTAAGGATGAAATGAGCACACTATTCCCATATACTCTTCCAACTGAGACGTAGAATGTATTTTCAAATATCAGACCGATGCCTCTTTAATGAGGATCCCCTTGGGGTATTATCTCAATTTACTACATAAACGATAGAAAAGCAATAAAGGGTTTCTGTTAGATTTTTTAGTATCCCGCAAAACAAAAATGATGGTCTTGGCCCCCTGCGGGTTACCGCAGTGGTGCTGAAATAGATGGCCGCAGCAAGGCGTCCATCCTCAGCGGTTGTTACTAACATATATGAGCTCATCCTTCTCCTGTACCACATAATTTGAACATTTGAATTCTTCCGTAATTCAGGTCGTTGTTCTCTCCCCAAAATTCAGTACGAATCATGAATATACCGGCCATATATGCGATTGCCGTGGGCGGCCTTTGTATAGCTCTCTTTTTGTTTCAGACTCGCTCTATCCTTATTAATTGGACGAAGTTTTTTTCGGTCTTACTATATCGTCACCTGATTCTCCCTGTGGTCATCTGCCGGCACTGGATCTGTGGTCCGTGGACCCGAGCAGGTATACTAGTCCACATCTCGTATATCGCCATCAGCATCGCTCTGGTATTTCTTCGGACTGATTCGCTTGTGGGAGCCGGCCGTCGAGCCGGTGAGCTAGCTCTGGTAAACATGATCTTTCCTCTATCAGCTGCTTATCTTGGCTACATAGCTGAGCATATTGGGATTACTTGGCGCACTTGTTGTAAAATTCATCGTGCGATAGGCTGGATGACTGTAGTAATGCTATCGTTTCACGTTATTGCTGAGGTATAAAGCCGGGAGTTCAAATTTCCTCTTGAGGAAAAAAGAAACCTGCTCACGATGATTGTATCTTTCCCCTTCCCAAGCTAATATGATTTAAACCTAGCTGACAGTGATAGGGTACTATTGCACTAGGTGTCCTTGCTCTATTCTCTATTCTGTATTTCCGTCGATGGTCTTACGAGATCTTTCTTAGAGGCCATTAGTTACTTGCCTTTGTATTTATGTGCGGGGCTTGGTGGCATCTTGAGACACCCAGCGGGTCAGCTAGACTATATATCTATATTGCCGTTGGTATCTTAGGGCTGACTATATTTTTGGAATTTGTAAAGTTGTTGTATCGAAATGGGATATTCTCAGGTTGTGGTGCTTCTTGAGCCCTTGTTTCATTTATAGTTGGTAAATTGTAGGTAGATACTGATGTCACAGCAGCCTACGTCTAGCTTCTCTTACCCCGGCCGGTATATATTGAACCCGGCCAATACATTAACCTTTGGATTCCCTTAGTCAGTTTGGGGTCTTGGATGTAGACATATCCTTTCACAGTCACATCTTGGTCGAGGGGAAAACAGGATACTCTGAAGCTTTTGGTGCAACCACGGCATGGCTTCTCTAGGAATTTGGCTTGCTATGGTAACTTAGCCGTGAATAGCTCCGTTTTATTCTTGGCCTTGTTTACTGGACCTCACGGAATCTCTGAGGATACCGATCACTATGAAACGGTGTTATTAGTTACTAGTGGTTTTGGGATCGCGGCATCAATCTTATATCTTAAGAAAATGATCCATGGGTATAATATATGTACTTCCTATGTTCGTCGACTGCATTTGGTATGGCAGATTGAAAATATTGGTGAGTTATGGCAGCTTCCGTGAACCAAAAATTAGCTAAGAGAAAGCAGAAATGGTGATGGCAGCCGAGGAGTTACTTAATGATCTCCTTGATGACGATATTATCGATAAGGGCTATGTAGGTCGATCCTTCCTCAAAGTCTGCTCTTAAGACTAACAAAAATGGCGCAAGATACTCAGCATTTCAATATACGTGGAGCACGGCCTTGTAAGCAACAAGACGCTTTTTGGAAAGCATGAGAGATTATGTTATTACCAGGGTATACCGGACTATCTCAGCATCATCTCAACCGAGGCTTCTGGAAGCCAGATAGAGAGACTAGCGAATATCCTAGATGAGCCAGGCCGAACCTTAGTGATGGGTAAGATCATTGCACTTGATTGGCCATATCTTTCTAATAGTGTCGGCAGTTTCCGCAAAAGACAATGTCAGAGATCATATACGACAAATCGCCAGAGGCTACTTGTATCAGGGTGTTGAGCTGTCAGAGTTAGAGTATCAGCCTGCTTAAGGCTCAAATTGAGTAGATCAAATATATGGACGGCAAGATTAGGAAGAGTACGCATCCTTCTAGATTTGTCTTGTGAACGTGGTTGCTGTTCATAGCTTTAAATTAGGAAACTTAAATGTAGGTAAATTAATTATTTGTATTACCGTACCTACCTCCAATTGTTTTCGTTTCCTATTTAGCGTTTTCTGAAAAATATTCTTTGATAGTTGGAAGGTAAACAGTCGAGATGCTGGTGAGCGGGTCGTAGTAAGTTGTACTAGTGCTGTTCTATAAACCAATAGACGTGAATGAATCAGATTAGTCCCTATTGCAACGCCGGTTTGGAATCATTGCGATACGCTTTTCGGTCCGCTGGCATTTTGCACCCTCCAAAAGAGCCGAGGCCGCGTATATGTTCCATAAAAATGATCTTGCGCTTTCCACCACCCCTGTCGGTTCTGACCCATTACTATTCCACTACTTCTTTGTGGCCTCTTTTAGACCCCGAATTCCGGTGCTGCGCTATGAGATATGACTATGGAAAAGGTAGAGGGACTTACTTTCTCTCTCTGCTTTCTCCGCAGATGGTATACTGTGATGGCCCGGCCCATTCATTTTTTAGGTTCTATATCGGTACTTTGAACATTTTGCATATTTTTGTTCGCATTTAAAGATAAGTTGAATGCTACTCTCTAACGACCTGGAAGAATTCTAAGTTGTATACTATCTCGCGCTTCGACTGCTCATCGCCTCGCGTTGCAGTACCTAGTCACTACTTGACACGTATTCCTCTGACTAAGGTTTCTACGAGTAGAATGTACGAGCGGAGATAAGGGCGAACCAAATAAGACACACTAGGTCTCCAGGGCACGATCGGATTTCCGTCAAGAAACGCTGCTGGAACACGGTGAGAAACGTTTTAAATTCGACCTGGAGGCTACTCACTTTCTTCAATTCCTTAAATGAGCTGGCCGAGGTGGTCGCTGAGAGGAAGTCGATGGCAGCAGGGCAAGCTTTCCAGCGCTCAGGATTGTCAATACCAACAGCCCCATCGGCCTTGATGTATTTCTGCATCAGCTCCATCATTATCCTTGAAACAGGAGCCAGATCCATGTGTTCTAATTTATCTGCTTGGCGGGCGACACAACATTCAAGGCGTGCTATTAACTGCGTTTAATTATTTCCCATGATGTAGTTATAGATCTAGCTTACCGATTTTGAGCTCCCCATTGAGCCCCACAAGAACACTGGAACAATTCAGGGATGTATGACGAAAGCCTTGAGCGACCAGGTACGCCAGCCCGTCGAGTAACTGGGCATGGTTAGCTTCCATTATTCTAATCCAGCGAGAAGAGCAAACCTGAGCCATCAAGGAAGCCAACTGATTCGGTTTGGGGTATTGCTTGCAAGCCACGATATGATCCAATGTGAGTGGATCAAATTCGCTAAGAGTATACAAAGCATCTGCAGTGCGATAACATGCCTGAATGACGGCCACATTATCATGGTTCATGGAACGAACAATTTGTAAGACACTATCGGCCTCTATGGCCGAGAACTGACGGATTGCACGTACTGCACGCTCTCCTTTGAGCGGAATGCATACAGCAACAGTGCCGGCTAGATCACATTCGTAGCCTTTCTCAAAAGTTTCCCATGGAGACTCATGTCGTTCAACCATGGGGAGGCTGGTGTCATTGTCCCACTTACTTTGTTCCTGAGGAGCTGGGAGGCGTGTCAAGCTTTGATAGACATTATTACGGGCCTCTAAAATCGAGGGCCTGGCGGGACTCTTATTTGGGCGCTTAGTGGGCTGAAGAGGCCCTGGTGTTAACTTGGACTCGGGTGCTGACTGTCCTGTCTCTCCATTTCCGCGTAGAGCTTCCTGTAATAAGGCAACCTGGCCGGGGGAAACTCTGGTGACTCGTTTATTGTTATCGTTTGGCTTCATGGCTTTTTCAATCAATTTGTGACCCAAGTATAGCTTTTTAAAAAATAAGGACTACGCAAGGGGAGTACTGTGGTTTTAAATGGGCTCTTACTGGGTACAGCGGGCCACTGCGGGGCCTTGCACCGTAGCAAAGTTTGGTGCTACCGCAGCGGGTGGAGCGAGTAAGTAGTTATAAAGTTCATGGGTAAGCTTTCAACTTTCTTGCTCTCATGAGTTCGTGACCTATCCTCTTCATGTCTCGAGCTTTTTTTACCGAAGAGGAGGTACGACTGGCCACCGAGCGGCGTGTAAAATATATCGGGGCAGCCAAAGTCAGCATTGATCAAATTCAATTTGAAACGCCTTTGCCCCGGGATCTGGATCCCAAAAACCTGGATCGGCTTCGAAATATTTTTCGTAAAAACCGGTGTCGCCGCCTAGATCTACATAATCATGTTCCTGTAGTCGTGTCACAGCAATCTCTTACCGACGCGTTACGAAAGGCGAACGTTACAGATCAGTCTCTTCTGACCAATGATGCGCATCATTTACCACGGCTTGCATTTACGACGGGACAACTCCAGGGTCTTCATGGCCGACATCGCCTGCAGGTTGGGGCAGAGGTGCTCCCTCCGGCTGATCGCTGGTGGACGGTAGATCTCTACATGGATGGTACGTCAAGGATAACTTTTCCTCGTTTTCTTACTAACAACAAGAAAGATATTGGCGAAGAATTGAGGACTTCTCTGGTGGAGGAATATGCAAATGAGAAGAAACCAACCGATGGAGAGATTTATCGCAAGATCCGACAATACGAGGGTGATTATGACGAAGCATTCAGAGAGCGATGGCTTGTACGGCTTTCGCGCAGCAACCAGGACAAACTGAATCAATTGGACAATCGCAGAAACCGCCGCATCCGACGTGCTTTTGATAAGCTTCTTAAAATCCCAGGTCTTTGGCCAGGCGGGATGAGAATCAGTGTGCTTCATCGGCTGATAGCCTCGAGCTGCGTAGAAGTGAGTTGCCGAGCCAATTTTCGTTTTGAAATCGCTAATGGTATTTCTCACTACTGCAGGAGATCATTACTTACCTAGGATATATATGGGAGTTTTGGTCTTCCCTGGTTTCCTCGGACCATTTTTCCATGAAGAAGATCGACCAAGACACAGTCGAGTGCTTGCAGTTGCTGGCACCAGGTAAATGCCGCAGTGACGCGAAAACAGCCTGTGGGTTGGTCTTAAGTGGCCAGGCATTTTCTGGATTCAACGACGACGAACGAAGGATCATTTGGTCCCGAATGCATAAATTTGACGGTCTTATTCCTTCATTATACACCTTTTTCGAAGATTTCAAATATTTGGAAAGCTGCGCTCATTGTATCAAGCGTCTCTTTGGTCCATCTAGTAGCTCGATCAGGGAAACCATGAGTTCGATGTTTATTCTCTGCCTAGAGGAGGGATTACTGGGATCAGAATCGGCAGATTGTATCATCCAGACTTCTGAGTCTACTTTCCGCCGCCAGCGCGCGACCGATATGGAACGGCTCGAGACAGCTTATCTACAGATGTGGCTCTACACCATGAGGCATTATCCTTTGATGCCCCCTGATCCGAAAAAAGATAGCGATCTACTGGCAAAAGCAGCCCGCGGCAAGCCTGATGAGAGGGCGATTTACGAGATGGCCGAACTTGCTCGCCAACTTGGGTTTCGCTCTAAAGAAATTGATATGATAATCGACAGCTCTCCCGATCATCAGATTGCACGCACCGCTCTTTTACAAGCCAGGAAGCCCAGTCGGTATCGATACAATGACGAGTAATTCGATATTTTAGTCCGTCGGATCGTGAGTTGCTTTGCTGAGGCGATTCCTGACCAACCCAACCTACCGCATGATCTGCTGGCAGATAGTGCCATGAAATTGCAGGTGCGCTCCGGGACGCCCCAAATACGGACCCATGAGCAAGACAGTCCTCTCCTATTTCTTGATCGAATGAATGCTGATATTGCTGCTGCCGACACGATTACCAGTTTTTATGTTCGGCGCTGTGTCTATTTCGCGTTCTTCGGGAAGCTGTCTCGGTCAAACAATACCAACCAGGATCGGGAAGCGGAAGGCCAACGAATGGGAGATCTACCCCAGTCACCGTTATTTGCCCAGGAGGATGGGCTGGCCGATGTGAATGTATCAGCTTTCCACACAGCTCCAACAAGCGAAACACTCCAAAATGAACAGCAAGGACGACCCACGGTACATCAGCGACCTGTGAGGAGCAGGAGTGGGCGGGAAGCGCTGCAGCATCGACGAAGGTAAAAGGTTTAGAGAAGGCTGCTTGTGTCTCACCGTACCGATGAGATAGATAGAGAGCCCATGGAGCTGGAAACACCACAGTCAGAGACATTGGATCAAGATATGGTAGACCAAAATAATACCTCTAGTGAAGGCGATGGTCTTGCTGCACTACCCAATGAGCGGGTCTCGAGCGAATTGGCGATTGTCCCTACACATGCCCGCCATGGTTCCTTTCACCAACAGGCCGAAGATGAAATGAGTGATTGCACAAGAGTTTCCTTCGAGGCGATCTCACGAGAGGCAAGCCCAGTAGACCGAGCAATTAGCGACGTCATAGATTGGGAAGATGGTTTTCAAGATCAAAGGCGGATCAATAATACCTCACGGCCTAGCTCAGCAGGGCCGGGGGATGGAAACCTGTCAGATTCTGGTGAACATGACAGGGGACAGGGAATAGATCTGTTTATTGCTAATTTAAGGCGAGCTAGGGAAGAAGAGGAAAAGCTGGAAGAAGATTCAGTGTCTGAGTGGCTTGACGACGAGTTGGACAGTGAGACAGGCCGGCTACCTGAGCAGCCTGACCACTTGAATTAATCTGGGCATAAGCGAAACTCACGACCGCTATCACCGGTGCCCGATAAGGAGCCGACCGACCAGCCGACTGAATCAATCCAATGGGACGTGGATCGTCTAGTGGCTACGGTAGATACCGCGGGACTGCAGCCAGTTCCTCATTCAGATGAAAGGCCGGTACCATTCGAGGAACATGCCAACTCTCCAACACCGACTTACGACAGCCAACCTCAGGATTCCGCAGGTCATGATGCTGTACCTTCGGCAGTGGGACAAGTGGAACGACGGCCCTCGCAAGACGCCGTTGAGATTCAATTCTGGTACTTTGAACGAGAGGAGTGGAGGCGGTCAGATTGTCTTCTCGTCAATCCAGCCGATACCTCGCCGGTAGAACGACTTGCAGAGAAATATTTTCGGAAGAATTATTCACTATATGATCTTCACCTTCAAGATGTCAGACCGGCCCAGTGCTATGAAGCAGCCACGAATGATGGCAGGAACGCCATATTTATGATCTCTAAATACGAAGAACAAAAGCTTATCGCCGAAGGCCGACTAGTTAAAGACAGACAACTTGTTACGATGGCTTCTAGAGCCTTGGATAGGGCAGAAAATACATCACCCGGCCGTTCAGTAAAGCCTAGGAGGTCATGAGTCTTGAAAGAGCCCTTCTAGATCAAATGTAGGCCTGTTTCGCTCAGAATGGGAGGATATGAGGAACATGAGCCATTTTGCTCGGTGAGAGACATCTTAGGAAACTGGTAGAAACGAGAGCAGGTTCTTAGGTAAAACTTGGAAATATGCAGACCGAATTATGAGTGAAATCGTGAGAAGGACTTAATAAAAGGTTGTTCTTGAAAATATCGTCCTAAAAAGCATGGAGACTTAGAAGCTCCGGGACAAGACCCTTCTTCCGAGAAGGTCTGGCACTTGGGAGAACCCTCTTGAGAGGAAATTAGTCACAGTACGGCCTACTGAAGAGCACAGACGGCATAGAAGGTAATACGTCATACGAGCTGGCTCTTCGTACTCCTCCTCTCCTAGTCCAAGCATTCTAGGCCTAGATCAGTCTTGAGACGGTCCTCAATCCTGAATTTCCGGGGATAAGACCCATATGATTAGCTAATTTCACGGGTATCTCTGGACTTGGACTTTTTTTGTTACAAATCTCAGAATCGACTTGAGGTTTTGCTATTTGTCTCTTCATCATCTCCGGGGAAAAATCCATAGATCCGGGATCTAAGACCTTAATCGAGCGTTAACTATGCTATCAGAAGGTATTTGTCACAACGATCAGAAATATTTCTGTAGAACTAAACCGCGGACTATTGAAGGCAGAAATTTCATTCCTTCGCTTTTGTATATCCGATATCTGACCAGATCTCCAAAAGGTCCGATATGCCGCGATTTTAGTGTTCGCATGTACGGAAACGGAGCAATTATAATAAGCCTTCCACGGAGTATTTTGTACAAGGGATGATTAATCGAAACCAATCTAAAGTCCATACATGTAGTGACCGGAATTCTGCCAACTCAGTCCGACAATTAGTGATGATTGTCCCGAGGCCTTGTAAGTTACCAAAATTATCCTTCCGACAGAGGCGATCCCTTACGCCACATACACTCCTCAGCATGAGCAACCTAGCTCAAGATCCCGCTATGATTGTAAATGGACGTCTTACTAGTGCGGCGAGGGCGGTGAACGAGCGTCGCAACATTTTCGAGGATGTTGTTGCAGAAGAAAATGTATTCCAGTTTATTGGCTCTGCAAACAGCCATACAACGATTGCACGAAAAGTAACAGCCAAAACAAACGCGAGCCAGTGTCTGGGGGATGCATCCGACACTACAATCCAGCAAATCTCAAGCGACCGTAGTAGCATCCCGGTGAAGAAACAGAATCTTCCCCTTGGAAAACAGTCGGGCAATTTCGAAAGGATTGGCCGCACAGTACATTAGATAAACAAAGCTTCTAAGGTGATACCCCAACTTTACGGATCTCTGCGTGGGGAGACGCTAATAATTATCGTTTCGCAGATGACAAACACAAATTCGGAGACGAGCCTTCGGTGAAATTGGGAAGTTGTACCCGGGGGGCTTCATGTCGCTGGTGGTGTTCAATGATTTTTGCCCTCTTCAGTCAGTTTTCTATCAGGTTTTTTCTAAAACAGAAGCATATGCCAAGGCCGTGTTCTTATTCAGGAGTCGAAGCTTCTTCATACGAGAATCACCAGAATATTCATGCTGCAATAGCGCACTCAAGCAATTTCCATGGTACTATTTTTGCAACCTTGCGAAGTCTTTGGCATGCAAAATATTTCGCCAGAACGAAAGACTTGTCCGCAAAGGCCATTCTTAACTGAAAGGCCGTTCGGGCCCGAGAGAAGTGGAACAAAAAGGGTTGAGCTGGCAAATTAACTGCAGTCCTGATTCAAATTAAGAATACTATTAAATACGACGCAATCCATTCCAGAAGGGTGACAAATTTCCATGCTCCTAGGAACAAAATCAACCTTTTCAAGTTTTGTATCAGACTCACTGGTCTGCTTTTCCACTCGGTGGAGATGTATTCCGAGAGTGGATCCCGCAGTGCCTCTGAAAGGCAATGCCCTGCGGACACTAAAACGCATCTCAAGGCAACACTTGAGACTTGGCAGCCATTATAAAGAGCCACCCGACTCCTCTCTTCTAAAAATTGGCGTCAAAATCAGTGTTACCTCTAACTTTCCATCAATAATTTGAAACAGCCTTTTACCCCGCTAAGATATCTTTCTATCTCTCAAATACCGTCGATGAAACTCAAATGGAAGCAAAATATACATTGGGGGAGAAGGCAATACGAGCGCTCAAACTATCCGGTATCCCAATGCCAAATATGCAAGCGTCGCTTCCGGCGTGAGAGCCCATTCATCATTTGAAAAAAAAAAATTGTATCTGGTGAAAAGACTTCCTTTTCCTTGGTTCTTCTTTTCTTCTTGTTATTGGCATCTTTCAATGAGAGGCAAAAGTACCTAAATCTAGCAGATCATGCATTCTTGACCGAAGTTCAAGGCCATAGGAATGCCTCTATGAAAAGGAGCTATGAAGCGATGAGACGGTGACATGGTTAGTAATCCCTATCATTGGGTTGTTCGCCAACCAATCATTACTAAACGATATCTCGAAGGCATTTCTGATAAGCCGGTTGCATGAAACCCTTGTTACTTAAGGTGACATTTGCATATTTTGCTCAGCAGAGAATATGCCAGTTCCTTCAGCCACAAGATTTCTTCTTCCATTCCAGGCTCTCAAACAACAGTAATGTTTGCCGGGCTATTTTAAATCGCACTGATTCCCGTCAGCTTATGGATACAATTGGTTTATTCAGAATTATCTATCGTGTATTGCCAACCCTTGCTTGCAGTTACAGTCAATCTGATTATGTCTTTTGGATGCTGGTTCAGAATGCGTCCAGCTATTATCGAGCGAGAAAAAAATAAATATAAATAGGGCATTTGAGCAACGAAACGAGCCAACCTCGCTGTCAACTATCCCTCAATCTTCCGCATTTATCAGCTATCTGTCAAAGTCCAAATGCGAACGACCATGCCTCCTGACGAAGACGGAGGAGATTCGAGTGATGTGGACAGGAAGAAGGATAATCCTGGACTCAGTTCTGCGAAGACATCCAAAAGACTTAATCAGATTGACTGTGTTCGAGCCAATGGGGTTGGCGATCATATAGCACTACCCCAGCTGGCAGTGTGTGGTGATCAGTCGGCGGGGAAAAGCTCTGTTCTTGAAGGTATCACCGGATACCCTTTCCCCCGAAAAGATGGCCTCTGTACACAGTTCCCTACCGAGATAGTACTGCGCCATGACACCCAAGCCAGTATGATGACGGCAAGTCTTCTGCCGAGCCAATCACGTTCTCCCGAGGAGAAAAAAAAGTTCTCGGGGTTTCAACGCGAGTTTCAAGATTTCAACGAATTACCGGCAATAATCCGCGAAGCTTCAATTTACATGGGAGTTCGAGGATTCAGCGAATTTGCCGATGCACCTGCTTTTGCCGCAGATGTTCTTCGACTTGAACTGGTCGGCAATACCGGGCTTCACTTGACTCTAGTTGATCTGCCGGGATTGATATCGGTCTCGGAGGACGAAGAAGACGTTGAGATTGTGCAGGGGCTGGTTGATTCGTATCTAGAAAGTTCTCGCACGATTATACTTGCTGTTATCCCGGCTAGTAGCGATGCAGAGACTCAACGCATTATTCAAAGAGCGCGTCATTTTGACAAAGAGGGCGTGAGGACTGTCGGAATCATCACGAAGCCCGACCTCATCAACAATAACACTGAAGAAAGAGTGGCTCGTTTGGCAAAGAATCTCGACCGCACCAAGCTGAATCTTGGCTTTTTTCTCGTCAAAAACCCTTCCCCCGATGAACTAGCGCACGGAATGAGTTTTCAGCAGCGCCATCGAGCGGAAATGGAGTTCTTTTCTAATCAACGCTGGAAGGCCCAGGGAATTGATCCTGCCCGAATCGGGATGATCAACTTACGTTCGTTTCTGGAAGATTTGCTGGATAGCCATATCGAACGAGAATTGCCGAAGGTTCTGCAGGAGGCCCGACGTTTACTACGTCGAGTAGATAATGAACTTATCGATCTTGGAATTGAAAGATCAAACGCCGCGCAAATTCGTGTGTTTCTCACACAGGTCAGCACTGAATTCTCTGGCATTGTCAAGAATGGCCTGGAGGGCAACTATGATAGCTGGGACGGCGATTTTTTTGCACTCGGTCCAGAAAGTTGCCGTCTACGCGCTGCCATTCACAGGGAAAACGAGCATTTTGCCAACTACATGAGGAACCACGGCCAAAGGAGGAAAGTTGTCTCTGGGGATAGCGATGATGACTTGGGAGAGGAAAGCGAAAACGGAGACAACGAAGAAAATGAGGAAGACCAAAATGAAGAGCAATTGGTTACAGAAAAGGAAATGTTTGTATGGATTAAAGAGGTGAGCTAAAAAGCACTCGCCAGATGATAATAGCTCACCATAACAGATGTATCGCCAAACCAGAGGTCGGGAATTACCAGGGAATTACAACCATTCTCTCCTTCAACGTTTGTTTCACATCCAATCAGGTCGCTGGAAGCAAATCTCTCAAGCCCACATTGGTTCTGTCGTGAGCTTAGTGACTCAGTTCGTTCGCCGGGCTTTGAAATTTGTAGTAACAGATGCTGGAGTCCACGACAAATTGCAGAAGCACATTATGGCTACATTTGATGGGAATACCGACGATGCTCACGAAGAACTGGTCAAGCTTATCCAAGATGAACGTGGTCACCCGATTACCTACAATCACTACTATACCGACAATATTCAGAAAGCACGGCATGACGAAGCAAAGGACAGCATTCGAACCTCCGTCAAAAAAGCGGCGGAGTCAGATTGGGGTGGCAATGTTCACTTCAGCAATACTCCCTATGAGATGAATCGAATGATTCTAGCTCTGCAGAAGCGTGTGGAGGTGAATATGGTTGACAGAGCTTGTTCTGAGGCATTGACCGATCTGAACGCATATTACAAGGTGGGCTTTCAGCATGATCCTCGCGATTATTCCTGGTCATAACATGATATTTTTAGGTTTCCATGAAAACATTCGTTGATAATGTGTGCCGACAAGTGATTGAGAGGCATATTCTAGCCAAACTGGGAGCAGCATTTAGCCCAACAGTTGTGAGTAAGTTTTCAGACGAAGATCTAATACGCCTTGCTAGCGAGTCTCAGACAACTAGCCGCCAGCGACTTGAGACGATACATTTGAAGCAGAAACTGGAGGCAAGTCTGCGAGAATTGTCCACTTAATCATACATTTGTGTTAGCCTGGTTATTCTGAGTTTCTCCGGGTGGGGTTTTCTCCCACTGGGTTTTCCCCCCACCCTTACGCGAATGCGGGAGCAGCTTTATTTATTTTGTCTGGCAAAGCTGATTCTCGTTCTTCGTTTGTTATTAATTCATCTGATTTTCAGTTTTGATAAAATTGCCCTCTATGGCATCCCCTTCAACATGGTTCATTTCTATATAAATTGTTTAGAGATGAATTTTCTTGTAAGAACCCTTTACGGAGGCACAACAGGAAGCAGAAGAAATGAAAATGATTCAGCAAAGGTGAGTCATATCCTACATCGCAGGGCCAAAGTTGCAGCTCAAGCACGCTCTCCAAACCTGGTAGGAGCTTCGGACAATGGTTGACACATTTCCTTCGCTTATGGCTAAGCATAACAGTATGTAGTCAGAGCATCCGCTCACAGGCAAGGAAATAGCCATCAGCACCTTCAAAGCCCATGTTTCCAAGTGATTCCATAAGCAATTTAGCAACATCCTCATGTCCTTCATCTATTGCATGCCCGTATGGTGTCCAACCATCGTCATCTCGTGAAATTTTGTCTAACTCTCGTCTTTCAACGAGGGCTCTTACAGCCTCGGTGTGGCCTCTCCGCGCCGCCCATGCCAGAGGCGTGTAACCATCCTTGTCTTTGCTGTTGATGTTCACACTAGATCGCTCAAGAAGCTGGCGAACTATGATCTCATGTCCCATAGCTGCAGCCCTCGCGAGCGGCGTACAGCCTTCACTGTCGACGGAGTCAGGGTCAACGTCATCGCGACCGAGCAGCAGGGTCACTATCCCTGTATGGCCCTGCTCAGCAGCTAATGCCAATGGCGTTGCTGACTCTATCAGTGAGGATTCTCGTGGCAGCCAAAAAATAAATTTGAAACTGTCACGCCAAACTATATCAACAGCTATCAAATCTGCCCCACGAGGGTTGGAAACATCTGTGCACCAGTCTGGTATCATGAATGATCCTTGTCAGCGACTTCTCATCCAAGAGCCACCGTCTTCATCGTCTCAAGATCTAAAACGAAAGCATTCCTGTATCGATGATGGCATTCTGCCCACATCTTCTACGCCTGTGGTCTCCTGTTTTTCTTTTTCATGCATCCTACACCACTGGAGTACTTGATGAATGTTCCACAGTACCCACAACAAGATTACATCTCATGGAAAACTGGAGTGGAGCAATGAAATGGGGATTTAGCTCCCTGTAGAAGATGCTGTTATCACGTATAGCAGAAAGAATAATACGATGGATCCGTTCCGAGTGCCACCTTTCGTATAGTTCAAATATGGTATATAATGTGGCATTGGCCACCTCAGTTTATTCTAATAACCTGTCAATGAGGAGTCTAGGCAGCCAACTGTTCCAGTCTGATCTGAGCTGCGCTGAGGTGGGTCTCCGCAGTGGCCTTTGCTTACGGCCTCCTCAATGTTCTGTAAAATCAAAATGCTCCGGGTATCTAGCTTTATATTAATAGAACTTGCGACACTCCATTCATGAAGCCATGGTCGAACTATACTTGCAAGCTCTACCTCTCGCTATTTTCTAGTGTTGACCCGCGTTCGCCAAAGTTCATGCTCAATAGTAGGTCACAAGTCTACGCTGCATTTTGTTGATAATGTTTTTTTCTTTTCTTTTCTTTTTTTTTTCGAACCTCTAATGTTCCTAGGAACAAAGTCAACCTTTTCAAGTTTGTATTAGACTCACTGGTCTGGTTTCCACTTGAGGGAGATGTACCCCGAGAGTGGATCCCGCAGTGCCTCTGAATGAGGGCGTGGTAATGCGCTGCGGATACTAAAACGTATCTCAAGGCAACTCTAGAGACTTGGCAGCCATTATAAAGAGCCACCCGACTCCTCTCTTCTAAATATTGGCGTCAGAATTAGTGCTACCTCTAACTTACCATCAATAATTTGAAACAGCCTTTTACCCTGCTAAGATATCTTTCTATCTCTTAAATACCGTACACATGATGCCGTCCGCATATCATATGTAAGTTTTCCTGCCACTACGAGAATTTCGATTTCTAAAGTTTGTATAGAGTCCTTCAATCTGGCACCGTTGATTTATTCGTTGGCGAGAACCGGAAGCTATTTTCAATTTATAAGGCGCTGAAAAGTTCTTTCCCAGAAAAGGCCCTTGAGCCAGAGATGCTCGAGAGTGTTGATGAGGAAGTCTTCGGTCGATGCTGTGAGTACGCGTACTCTGGAGACTACTCTGTTCTATCTCCTACTTTAGACCTTTCCGTAAACGACGTGTTGCAGCTAAATTACACGGGATCGCAATTCTAGCAGCAGCAGTAGGAGGAGGAGGAGGAAGAGGAGGAGGAAGAGGAGGAGGAGGAGGAGGAGGAAAAAAGATGGAATCGCTTGTGTCTGATTTGGAACCTTTTCGCTCTAAAAGCGCTGTCGAAAATGTATGATACCTTGCTTGGGAAACTTGACCACCCTCGACGATCGGAATCTGAGGAAGGCCCCAGCAATGATTATTCCACTAGCTATGCAGTAGTCCTTTTGTGTCACGCTGAAATCCATCGTTTTGCAGTTAGGACAGGTTGGCTTTCGTTCGATGTCCTATCTTTCTTTCGATTGCTGCGATTGCTTGAAAACTTCAACCCATGTGAAAAGTTGGCGGAGGACATTGTTCAGCTCCTGGAATTTGTGTTCGAGGATAGTAAGAACATCCCGGGCATGGTCAACTTGGAAAACATGCTGCGAGACTATATGGTCTGGAACGTGGACTTCTTGATGCGGAATGTCGACTTCAAAGCCTTCTTGGAACGAAATCCATTGTTAGAGCACACTGTCTTTCGTTCAATGTGGGAGTAGGGGAGGATGCAGTACATTTGAATACTCTTTTGCTCTTGTTTCATGCCTTCTCACTTAGTGAGACCATATTACCTTCCGTACATATGAGTTGTCAATGCAATTATTGGATACGAATTTTTTGTAAACCATGAAAGCTCAAAACTGATTAACAAGCATCGTTCTAAATTTACAGTATCTAATTTCAATTTTGTTTTGCAGTTCTCAACCCCAAAAACAACATGATCAAGCGGCAATGCCCGTTCAAAACACATACAATGGCTATTTGCTTGTGGGGCCGCTGTCCCACTACGATCAGCAAGTCCCGCTCTCTGCATGTGCCTGGATTCCATTGGCTCACAGCCACCGCTGAGGCGCTAGCGCCGCAGTGGTCAGAACCGTCTATTTCTGAAGGGGCCTTGGCGCAGGCCGCAGGGATGTTCTTACATCCGACGCTCAATGAGTGTATAGCCTACTTTTGTCCCTGCGGATCAATGTGATATCATTTCCCCAGTGGCCTCTTATTGCATATTTCTTATTGGTGGAGCTCAGTGCGAAGGATGCCTGAGGACACTGATGACGAAGCCCTTCTATGCCTTCTCGTCTATATAAGTGACCTGCTTACCCCTAGTACGGCCAACAGCTTTTAACGGCAAAGCTTGAAAGCCTTCTCGCGCAACCCCAGCCACAATACCAGCCTATCTTGTAAGTTGCTAAGTACCCTTTTAGAACTGATACTTCCACTGATATGAACTTTCATCCTACTGATAGGTTGAATGTAACGACAACCTCCCTCCTGGAAGCGTCGAAATGTGTGTATCTCATTCGGTCGAGTGGAAAATCACGCTTAAATTGATGCGATTACAGGGTCAGAGACTTCATACGGGGCAACGGAGGCCGGTTCCTAGAGAATATTGATGATTTCAAAGGATTTTTTGTTAGTATTAAGTCCCGGACTGATGAACCGAGAATTTCAGTACTAATTATTACTCGTTTCGAAGAGTGGAGATTCCTGAGAGTTTAATTGCTTGTTTGAAATCATATCAATATGTGGTTAATGTCGAGCCTGATGTTTTCGTGGCCGATAGTGTGACAGAAGAAGTTCTGTCAAGGGGAAGAAGCTTAGGGGCCGTACCGTTCAAGGCAAGTGACTAGCAAAAGCGTGTGTGGTTAGATGGTCTTGTGTTTGATGCTCAATCCTCGCACGAAGCCCATTCGCTATAAAAGCTACAAATGGTGCCAGGGAATGTGGAGACTGTTGAAAGTTAGCATTTTTGGCTAATCGTTTATACTACGAGGTGATGCGCTGCGGAAACTCCATCCCGGATCTACATATGGGTCACAATAACCCGTTTGCCATGTTTTTGTTTAAGATCCAAGGGATAATGTGGCCAGCCAAATTAAACGATAACATACCAAAAGAGGTAAAAGCAACTACTTTCGCATCGTCCGCATCGTCCGCATCGTACCAGTCTAAAATTAGAGTCCGAAGATGACTACCCGATGCTCTAATGAATGATATAGCGGCTAGCATAAAGGATTTGGGTGCAATGCCAAATGTGTAAGTGTTGCCCCGCTTTTGAAGACGGATCATAACTTGAGCACTTCATATGCAAAAAACTCTAATTTCCATGCTTTGCTTTACTATAACAATCTTCAAATTTCATCCAAAAACACAATAACGATGATAAAATTAGACATGACCAACGAACACATTAAGTTACATAACGCAACCGCGAATACGTACCATAACTCCTGCTCAATCGTCTCTCTATCCTCTTCCTCTTACTCTCTTGACTTGGTGCTCGGCTTCAATAGCTCCAGATATGTATAAGGGATTTGAAGCGCGCAGGATATAGCCAGTATGGCGAGCCTTTAGGCTAGCGACCGCTGAAATTGTCGGGAAAGTAACTATCGGTGACCCCAACTTGTCAGCCCGAGCCGCTCCCTGTATTGAGACTCCCTCATCAATATCAAACCCAGGATCGTCCACATTTGCGAGCCCATCGGTCAATGCAACCACTCGCTGCTTGCTTCTTTGAACAGCCCTCCATATATAGAATGATTCTCGTAGCAATCGCTGTAACCTTTCTTCAAATGATGTCATTTCGATAAGAAGCGGTTTCAACTTGGAGGTTATACGATCGGAAATAATGGCAATTCTTGTTTCCTCCAGCTCTTGCTCATCCGGGGCGTATACAATCGACGACACCGATCTTATCACAGCCTCTTGCATTGGCTTTTCTTTGGCCATCTTGTCCCAATCTGGAGTCGGTGAAACGCGGTTGAGCCAAAAGGCGTAACTAGGCATTGCTAGGAAGACACTGGCTGCTAATTCCGTCGCGATGAGGGCTTTCAAAGTGGCAACGCGGAGATGCTTTGATGCTATACTATCTGAAATAGGTATTGGTCTCTCATAGTTCACGAACCCTGAGCTGACAAGTTGCCTGAAGATTTTGTCCTTGGCCAAAGTTAGCAGGGCACTCCATAGCTATTGGACAGAGATGATATACCTGGTTCTCCCCCAGAGTGTTCCTAGAATTGTCTAGCAGTGCTGACTTCGCAAGATCATGCAAATCCATAGCAAGTTGGTCCAATCGATCCGAGCTTTGAAAGTGTGAGTCTTGGCCGTTTCCAATGAGGGCCTTGACTTACAAATCTTCTTCTAAGTTCACGAAGCCAAGATCCGAGATGAGCTTTTGATGCTCATCTGATATTGCAGAAAGTTCGCAAATTTGTAATTCTAGCTCCCTTTCCAATGATATGCACCTCTGCTCTGATTCCTTTGATTTCGAGCGAGAATCAGCAACTTCTTCTTTGGCTTCTGCCAATAAAGCGTTCGTCGCTAAAACACTGGAATTTTGCTTTTCTTGCACAATAACAATTCGCTTTTCAAATTGCTCAATGATCTCCTGGATGAAGCACTTAAGCCTCTCCTCTTCCTTTTCTGACTTTTGCAGCTGGATATGCAACTCATTTATCTCCGCCTGAGTCGTTTCATTTTCTTCGATCACATCTTCAATTTGAGTGATTACTCGTGCGTTGGGTGCCATTTCGACGACAGCAGCCCGGAGGTTCTTCCATTTCTCGAGGAAACAAGTAAGCTGCTGAGAGTTTGGGTCTGACATTTTGAAATGCCATAGGGAATATAATAATAGAAATACCGGAGAGAGTTTGATGATGATGGCAAGATGAAGCTATTTTTTTCAAGCAGCGCCTTCGTTATTTGGGCTCTATTTATTATTTCCACTACGGCATCGTCGACCGTCTTGCTCAGCCCGCAAATCGCATCTGTGGCGCCCGGGATTCAGAGTAAAACCGTCTCCCCTAACAAATGAAAACAAACGGCGAACCATATTGAATACCAACACACCAAAAGTGATCTAATAATAGTCAGAATAAATGAAAATACTAAGCTAGCATTTTCGCAGATGTTTGAGGAACTTCGCCTTGATTGAGTGCGATTCCCATCCAATGAATCCAAGCGCTGAGTTGTCGGCTAGCAGGGGTATAGATACTGAACCATGGTTCAACATAAAAAGCAAATCTTGCTTTAAACAAACCCCTGTAGGACTGTCTCGGCGCTTGTTTGATGGTTTCATGTAGCGAGGTGGTTGATTTCGATTTGGGAAATGGCGGCTCCCTTTATCCCAGGCATCCCTTTCTGACCAGCCCAGAGCATCAGTGTTCAAAAGCGATTGCGTAAATGGGATAATTGGATAATGATCATGTGCGCGTATTGCGCACAGCCGGCATATGCGCTTTTACTGGCTGACCTAGTCACCCTTCTTCTGCTGACACGTGTCGCGCGGCGGGTCGATCCGCGGATTTTAGTTGGGGAATGCGCCACTCGCGGAAATTTACTTACACCTTGGCGTGATAACAAAACTACCGTAAACACCTTGCTTCGTTGGTGTTATGCAGCGGCTGCGTTCGTTGCGCACAGGCATGGTGTGATCCAAGCTGCAGCACTATGCATGTAAGAAAATTGTGTTGTACTTTGATAGGCTCCTCGGGCCCTCTTATCGTTGGTTCCTCTACCAACGCAGAATTGAGCCTCATTACCCCTCTCTCTCTGTCCGTCCCAAAAAGCAAATAAACAAACATATTGCGAACTGTATTGTCAAGCAATGAGCCACAAAGGCCCTAATCATATTCACATTAGCGTATAATGCGCAGGTTTCTTTGCTGAAAATGATCGAGCAACTTCGCGTTCACGGGGAGCCGCCCCCATCCAATGAACCCAAGCGCTGTGTTTTCGGCTAGAACTAGCAGGGGTAGAGATACCGAGCCATGGTTTAGCATAAAAAGCAATTACAGCTTTGAAACATACCCTTGTGAACGTGTATCGCCAATTAGCCTCGGCGCTTATTGTCTGGCCTCGAGGAGCGCAGCGATTTGGGATTGAGTTGGCTTGTAGCGGCTCTCTGTAACACAGAGTCACAGGTAGTCCTAATTTTTGAGCCCTCAAGACTCCCAATCAATGTGAATAAGCCGTTTGGGTGGAGAGTGATAATCTGCTCGTAGTGTGCACAGCCAGTATATGCGCCTGGGCACAATGTGATGCAAGCTACAGCACTATGCACGTAGGAACTTCGTGTTTTACTCTCATAGGCTCACTGAATCCTCTCACGATTCTTGTGTCGTGTCAGCATTGAGCCTCATTACCCCGCAGCTTAGGTATTCAAAGTATAATTATGGCGTTTTGTACTGACTGAAGGGAGGCATTATTCACAATGGAAGCTATTGGAGCCGTATCATCAATATTCGCGATTTATAACCAACTAGAGAAGTGTGGTAAACGATTGCACCGCCTCAAACATAACTTTCGAATCGCCAAGCAAGAGCTCAATCTTCTCGCAGATGAGGTGTCCTCTTGCCAGAGCCTGTTCGGGATATTTAGCCATATCAGTCGCCCTCTGGACAACAAGGTGATGAAGCTCGCTCGCCAGCAACAGCTGGAAGAGACTCTCAATTCCCAAGCAACTTTCGCGTTTGGACAAATTGGCGAAATTTTCCTGAGGCTTGAGCCTTTAAGGGAACACAGCAATGCTGGTCGATTTGACCAAATTATCGCTAAGCTTCGGTGGCACTGGATGAAGGATGAAGTCCAGCTTCCGCTTCTCACGCTAGTCAGTGTCAAAATAACGTTGACAGCCTTTAACTGTCTACTTATTCTGGATCTTTGCTTGAGAGACATGAAGAGTCCGTCTGTCTCAAAAAACGAAATGAAATCTCTCAAGATGCAAATGTGAGACCAGTAATTTCGCAACGAATAAAGAGTGATACAGTCTAACTATGCTCTAGAAAACAGCTCAAGCGGACGATTAATCGTCAAGAGAGATGTCTACGACGATTGTCTAAGAAACTGAGTGAATTCCCTGCTACCAGCACCCAGCCAAATTTGGTCGTGAATACAAGATTGATGGTCGTCACTATAAATCGGATCAAACAAAGCCCCATTTCTGAGGCTAGTAGTGTAATAGATGAAGATATTCTGGACTCTTCATCTCGCACATCCACCCCATCATCAAAAAAGACATCTTCCACAACATCAAGAAAGGCCTTTTTGCCAAATCTACCAAGAACACCAACCAATATTTCTGGGTCTTCTATCAAAAAGCATGGTTCATCACAGCATAGCTCCTTTTCAGAGGCAGGTGCATTGGTTAAAAAAGAAAATGTGCGAAAAACATGGTCTGTGTTTCATGACTACGGCGATGGAAACAGGGAAATCTATGAGGTGGGCTCTTCCATAAGCCACAGCAGTCCCAATGAATGTCCCGATTCAATGAAGTCTAGATATGCGCCTATGCCTCCATTTGATTACTTTGATTTACTATTACGAAAGCAAGGGAAAAAAGATGATTAAAATATGCACCTAGTTCACTTTTATCGATACGTGTCAATTAACAATGGGGGTCTTTATTAAATTTTGGAAGAACCATGGAAAGCAGGTAATGAATATGGAATTATAATATGCTTCAATTGATCAATTTCAGCGTGTTGGCTGTTTCTGAATGGAAAATTCATCGAGGTCTATGTATTTAGTCTAGAAAATGCCATAAATAGGGCCCTCTTAACCCATCTATTATCATGCTGAGTGACCAATCAAGCGCCAGGTACTCACGTAGCAGCGCAGTTGTTTAGCTGAACTAAAGGACCTGTCAAAGTCCTGTGAAGATTAAATGCGTGTCGCTGAAAATATATGGGCTCGGAAAACTTCTCATCACAAACATTGCATGTTACGACTGTGTTTGAAACGAGCTTTTTCAAATGTTTCCGCTTAATATGTTTTGTCACATCGGCATGTGAGTGGAATTTCTGAACGCGCCTCGTGATATCTAACCCTTGTTGACCCAAGCATATAAAGTAGAATAGAGGTCGGTGATCCTTCATGACGGATCGAAACGCAGATTCAAAGGGTGTTTCAGGTGGATAGATTTCGGGTTGAGAGACATCTCCCTCGCTCTTGCTCTCTAGGCTTTGTTCGTCAAAAGTTTGACTCTCGGACTTTCTGTCTTCTATACGTTTGTTTCGTGGCAAGCGACAGGTGTCCCCCTCCTCAAAATGATAATAATTAGCCACGGCATCAATAGCTTCTGTCCTCCGAGCCATCTCCTCTTCTAAAGTCGCCCGAGGTAAAGTGAGAAGGCTCTTTATGAGGCGTTGCTGTAAGGCTGGGACTTCAGTAGAGCATTCCAAAGGTTTCCTTATGGATTTAACCGGCTCAATTCCGGAAAGTTGGCGCTTTATCTCTAGTATAGGCTGCTCTCTATCGTATTTGTTCTGTGTTTGTAAGAGGAGAGCGTCCTGCGTACGCTTCTTGGCCCCTGTTAATTCCCGGTTGAGTTTTCTGTAATTTTTATATGTTAGTGTTCCTTTATGCTTTGATAGCGGGCGCTCGAGGGAGCGGCTGATCTTGTCCTGCTGATTTATCAAAGCCTCGATCTCTGGAAGTCGGTTGATAGATGTGGATTGCTCGGTTGTCAACCACTGTGGGCGATCTGGATCGATAGTATGGCTTATCCGGTAAGCCGCACGTATGATATCTTCTTCTGGATCGAGGCCGCGAATTATCGCGGGCAAATTTTTGGAGATCCTTCGACTAAGGTAGAATTTTAAGAAAGTGTGTGTATCAGCATGGTGCATAACCAAGTTTCGTAGAGAATCACTGACGGAACCTTGTATATAATTAGCTCTGTGAATCCACTAATTCATTAAGATACTTACCACTACTGTCTAACGCCGATCCTGCCCCATATTGTAAGCTATATGGGCGAGTGACCTGCCTGATCCCGGTAATAACGCCCATTTTCTTGACCTATGGCTCTATAGTTGAATAAGGGAGAGCTTTACTGGGGGAGATGCCGATCCCGTTTAATGTTCGTTCGGATATCCGGAAAACCGGCACGTCATCCGTCCTGGGGTCAAGCTGTAGTCGTAACTCGTTGCACTGGTCACGAATTCGGAGTCGAGGAAGTTGGCTTGCAGAGACAAGAACTTCTTCACCATCAACCCGATCAAATGCATGGTCTGTAAAAAGAAGGCCTAGCAGGAATACGTGTGGACTCAGGACTAAAGAAGGATCAAAAATGATCTTAGGCAAAATATATGTGTTTCTAAAAGTGTGTTAGAACGAGGGGAAATAATAGTATTGCAACCTACTTACGAGTCTTTAGCACCCAACCACTCTTTGGTGAATTTAAAGGTGAACTCGATGACAATTCGGTGTGGACCACCCTGTGGATCACGCAAAAGACTGACTTGTATGTGACGATATCGTAGATTGAGAATGGCCTGAGGGCGGTTTGTTGTAAGGCCTGTGAGCTGCAAGAAAAGTCCAAGCTCAATGCGGTGGCGACCATGACTAAACTTCTTCTGGGTTGTGCTCATAGTGGTCTCAACGACCTTTGCTAAATCTTCTATATCCATGGGAGGCTTGTCTCGTCCTTTGATTGACAACTTATACTTTTTTGCTAATTGGCGAATCACCTAGGTTTCAAATAGGGTCAGTCTTGGAAGGGCTGTAAATATAAGCAGCAATTAAAGAAAAAGTGCATACCCGATGCATTCTCCTGTTCATCTGATTCCCAATTTTGTTGGAAGTAGACCTTTTGTAGACGAGCCGGAATACTTTCTAGAATGTATCCAAGGAGCTTTTATACTTGATGCCTGGAAGCCTCCGCCCATTCTTCCCGCGTCGTAGATTGAGGGCCTATTCGAGGAAGCTATACAGAATTGGGATCGATATACGGCGATACTCCTCGTTTGGGTCCTTTCGAATGAAGCAACAGAATCTTGGTTATGAAATCATGAGTCAAACGAGTCTCAAGCAAAGAGAGAAATCGAATATATAGCCTACTGGGTCTATTTTTCCTCAATGCGGTCGAGGAGGGCTATAGTGCCTTTTCCGTAATCCTCCTGAGTGTAGATCGTCTCGTCAAAGTCCTTGAGTTGTCGGATGTAGTACTTGGGTGAGTGCTCATTGTCGGCAAAGAGTAAGGCTGCATCATTGGCATTGCCTGGTTGATCTGCATCGTCTTCGAAGTCTGTCAGATCAGTGTCGGATCGAGTGTCCTCGAGACTTTCTTGATCGGAAAACTCGCTCTCGCTGGAAGATGGACTATGGGACCTCCGAGGGCGAGGGGCCATGATGAGATGGACGAAGGGCTATCGCGGCTTAGCTAGTCCCAATTCAAGTCATCAAAGGTTTTGAGTCGATCAATACAGATTTATCGAGACTTTGCAGAGCAAACGATGGGAAGCAATATTATCGTGAAAGGTTTGACAAAGGTGGGTAGGATTGGAACAAGAGGTTGAGGGGCAGAAGGCGCCGCCTTTTAACGGGAATAATTGTCCAAGAAGCCATTTTTGGCGCCTCAGTAGACTGAGCCCTGAAGGGTTCCTGGGAGCTGAGAAACAAGTTGGCCTAACGAAAGGTGGTGGGTCCACAGTCCAAGGGTGTTTGCGACGACTGCGGTGCGAACCAGGACTGGGCCGTGCCCGCAGCGGCCGCAACGGAATGGTGCGTGTCTGAAGCGGGTGGCGGGTGGCATTAAGTGTGGCAGATGGACGGCCAAAAACGGCGTCACTTGCGGCCAGAAATGGCAGTCTTTCTGCCGTCATCTACTTTATAGTAGTATTAATACTTTAGAAAGATTATATTATATATATATCTAATAGTATTAGGACTTAATAGATTAGATCCTAACTACTATAGTTAATTAAGCTAAATTCTATATAAAATACTATTAATTAGAGCCTAAAATAAATAGATAAGTAAAATAGATTAATTATAAAGAGATAGAGAGATAATAGAAAAAAAGAAGATATCTTTATTATAGTAAATAAGGCTACTTTATTATAAAGTATTTCTTATTAATTACATAATACTAAGAACTAAAAGAGAGATATTTCTATAGGATTAAAGATAAGAAAGCTAGATATATAACTAATTATAAGTAAAGTATATTAGTTTTTAAGAATATACTTTTCTTAAGTAAAGATTTAGAAAAAAAGTAATTCTAATTCTAAGTTATAAATAAAAGTAAAAAGAAGTTAAAAAACTACTAAAATAAGAAATATTACTATTTCTAGTTAATACTAAAGTAAATAAAATCTAATTTATATAAGTCCTAGTTAATAGTAGATATTATTATTATATAACTATAAATAAAATATTAGTTTAGTTATTTAATCTTCTATATATTAGAATATCTATATAGATCTTAGATAAAGTAGTCTTAAATTAGGACTAAATTACCTAGGTTATATACTTTAACCTAGATATTTATAACTATTAATAAGAATAAGTATTTATATATATTATTTCCTAGTAAAAGGATAGTATAATATTAAAAGATCTTTAGCTATAAGATATTAATAACTAATATTTAATAAGAAAAGGATATATTAATATATTTATAAGAAATAGAGAATAAATAAGGTATTAGAACTATATAAACTATATAATTAGACTAATTAATATAAGAAGAATATAGATTAAGTATAATAGTTACTAAGTTGTTAGGCTAGAGACCTATGACTAGGTAAGGATATCGGATAGTAGAGATCAAATAGAATAGTTGATATATAGAACTGATTCTTATAGGATAAGAATCGTAGCTATTGTTTATATATTTTAATATTGCTAGAGCTTACTAGGACTTAGGGTAGTTATATATTAGTAGGTATATTATAATAGATTTGTCTATAGAGTAGTTATAAATTATATTTAAATTATATCTAAAGGGATTTAAGAATCCTATAATAATTTATCCTCCCCTTTTAATAATAGTTAACTTAACTATCTATATAACTTATATTTAATTAGGTAATTTATATCTAGTAGTATTATATTAAATAAAGATTCTAGGACTAATACTATCTTAGATATCTTTATATATAAATATAAATAAAGTAATATAGGTTTTTTAATATCTTTAAGATAAGAGCTTCTCTCCTATCTTTTTAACTCTTATCTTTTTTCTTTTCTTAGCTCTTAATTCTTAACTCTCTATCTTCTTACTCTTTATTTTTATCTTATTTTGTTTTAATATATCTAAGGCTGCTACTTCTAGTATTTTTAGTAATTCTTCTTACTATAGTAGTTATTATATAACTAGAGATAAAGATTAGGCTAGAGGTAGAGATAATAGTAATAGTAATAGAGATAATAGGATTAATAGAAGTAATAGGAGTATTACTAGTATTTCTACTAGCTTATATCCTCTTTATAATCAAATTATTTACCCTTTCTTTATATTCTATATTAGATATATTACTAAAATAGCTTTTTACTCTCTTAAGGATACTATTCCTAAGATCTATTATAACTAGGATTATATAAACTTAATTACTTATGTTTTATATAAAGAGTATAGCAAAAATTGTTTTTAGATAAGGTTCTTCTCTAAGTTATATTTAATTTAGTATTAATTTATTTTAGATATCTTATAGAATTTATAGTAATTTATATTAGCTTTAGTTAATCTTTAACTAAGTATATAAAGTTTAAAATAGTAATACTACTATAGTAGTTATTAGTAGTACTATATCTACTTAGAATAAAAAAAGTAAGACTATAGCTATAGGGAGATCTACTTATCTCCTAGTATCTTTTTAAAAGATAATCTCTATTTATCTTTCTAGTTATAAGCTTTATTTTGATTTATAGAATATAGACTAAGCTATAGGGATATATACTATATTTATTACTAAATAATAGAAGAAGTTAAATATTAAGACTAGTTTATCTTTTATTTAGTCTTTTTACTATTCTAATAATCTTTTATATCTATAGATTAGTAATATTAGTTTTACTCTCTAGTAAAGTAGTATTTAATCCTTTTTTATAGAGATTGTAGTAGGGTATTAGTATAATATAACTTTAATTAAGATTACTTTAACTTTAGTTATAATAGTAATAGTTATTAATATTAAGATATTTATAGCTTAGTATAGAATTCTATAGTAATTTATTATTTTTATCTTATTTATTTTTTCTTTTTTTTAATTAAGTAGCCTTATCTAGTATAGCTTTTCTTTATCTAGTATTGATTTAAAGGTAATTTAAAGGGGTTTCAAGGGGTTTTTAGTATTATTAGGATATTATTTTGTAAGCTTAGTTTTTTTTAAATAAAGTTATTATATCTCTTATATTTTCTAAGTGTTCTACTAATTCCTATTAATTATATTCTAAGGGTTATTCTATCTATTTTATATAGTAATATAGTACTCTATTAAAAGCTTTTTTATTTTAAATCTCTTTAACTTCCTATTCTTCTTTATCTTTAAGTTCTAGTATTAGTATTTATAAATTATTATTATTTTAGCTATTCTATGGTTTAAGAAGAGAGATAGAGAAGATATTATATAATCTTAAGTATTTTTCTAGTAATATAATATAATAGGTCTAGGTATTAATTTTTATAAGGATATAGAAGGGCTTAATTTAATAGAAGGATAGTTTTTTTTCTTTAGCTTTAAAATAGAGGTTCTTTATTAAAAGGAATATAAGGATTTCTACTTTAAAGTTTTTTAGCTTATAATTTTTATTATAGGATCTCTATTATATTTCCTATATAATTTAAAGCTTATTTATAGTCTTTTTATAGATATTCTAGAGGTAATTTACTTATTCTTTAGTATTAGGGGTCTCTTTTTTAAGTATTTTATTAAGAGTTTAGATTTAGAAATTAAGATTATATCTAAATAGTATATAAAAAAAGGTTTTGTTAGTTAATATATTAATAGTATTATTATATATAAATTATATTATTTTAAAGAGTTAAGCTTAGTTTAATTATTCTTTATTAATAAAATACTTAAGATAATCTTCTAAAACCTAGTTAAGTCTTTTTATTTATCTATTGGTTTAGAAGTAAAATATAATAAAGAACTATAGTTTAATCTTAGAATAATAATAGAGTTATAATTAAAACTTATTTATAAAAATAGGTTCTTAATTAAAGATAATTCTCTTAGGATTTCTATATTTAAGTTTAATTTAATTAAAAAAAAGTTTAGTAAGATCTTCTATAAATATTATTATTAATATAGAAAAAAATTAAAAGAATTTTATAAGTTAGTAGATAATTACTAGGATTATATTATATTTTCTTCCTTTAAAGATTATAATTAGAAGTCTTATAATAAAGTCTATACTTAGTTTTATAAATAATCTATAAGATATAAAAAGGGATTAAAGTTCTTTATAGAAATAATACTTAAATACTTTAACTTCTTAATATATTAGATATATTTTAATATATTCTTATATATTTTTTAGTAAATATTCCTAATAGAATTTCCTTTTTAGAAATTTTTCTATATATATTCTTTTAAAATATCCTATAAGTTACTTATTATAATAGAGTTTAATTAGTTTTTACCTTAGGTTTTTAGTAATAGAAATATAAAGATATCCTTTAGATATAAAAGTTTTTTAGAGTTAATATTTTAATATTTTCCTTATAAAACATTTTTCTAAGTTATATTAATTCTTTTTTAGACTATTTTATCCTTATTTTAGAGTTTTTTAATTAATAATTTTAGTTTCTTTAGGGATTTATTTATAAATAGATTTTTATTTATAATTATAGTAGCTACTATTTAAAGGAATATAAATTAAAAGTAACTTAAAACCTTATAATATATTATATTATAATCTTAATTTAGGAAAAACTTAGTTATATTATAGTTTTAACTTAAGAAAACTTCTTTATTATCCTTTAGATCTAAATAATTAACTTTATTAGACTTATTTATAGTCTTCTCTAGATCCTTTTAATCTATAGGAATAGTAGTATTATTTTAAATCTAGTTTAGCTTTAACTCTAGGTTATTAGCTAAGCTATTTATAGTTAAGAAGAGGAATAGTAATAGACTTCTATAAGCTAATATAGTTATAATTATTAATCTTTATTTCTCTCTACTTTCCTCTCTAAATAGTATTATATTAGTAGTAAACTACTATATTTTTATAAATAATTTAACTATAATTCTCTTATAAATTAGTTCTAATATCTTCTTTATAGATAGAGGCTTCTCTTCTTCTAGGGTATAAGATAATCTATCTATAGGATTAGTCTTTCTTAAATAGTAATATATTATAAAATTGAATAGAGTTAGGGAAAGATACTAATATATTT